TTTTCGGTTTCCAGAGACAATTAGCAGCTAGATGTTAGTCAGATAACGTTTCTATGTTCCTTCCTAATGCCTGTGTAAATAATTATGGACAAAAAGCTTATGATAAACTGCTGTTTGTTTACCTTCAAGTTTCAGTTGCTTGACACGTGTGCGCGTAAAGCAGCCAGTGAGCGCCAGCACACACACATATTTTGTACATCTTGACATGTGAAAGTGTTTCTCTATATGCTTTCATCGAAATGGCCCACGATGCTTATCCATCCACAGTTTGTAATGTAGTCAAATGTTTCCAAACACAAGTGCAGCCGGTCAGAGCTCATTTTTGGTTAATGATGTCAGAATTTACCAGTATTTTGGTTTTGATGTGTGAATGGTCTTTTCCGAAAAATTTCCACAATGTTACTGCCTGTGTGAAAGGCGCTATTTTGAATTTACTGGTAAAGTTGTTCCGGATAATTTCCAGATATTTACCGGTATCACTGTGTAAAAGGGGCATCACCTCTGATGAGAACGATTATCATTATTGCTGGCCAGTTAACTTCATATTGCACTATTTATTTAATATAATTTTTTTTCTTCATGACATTTTCAGTTAATGGGGTGTGTCACAGCTAACATAACTGTATAGTGGTCAAAAAAATGTAAAAAATAAAATAATAAATCTAAAGGCAAAAACTTGCATCAAGTTCCTGTGTTTTTAGACATAACTTATTTTTAAAAATCATTGTCATTTACTGAAGTAGCCACTTACACTACCTGACAAAAGTCTTGTCGTGAATCCCAGTTGTAAGAGCAACAAATAATAACTTGATTTCTAGTTGATCATTGGAAGAAGTGGCAGCAGGTAGATTTTTCTAATGAGTCATCTGCTGAACTGCTTCCCAGTCATCACAAATACTGCAGAAGATCTACTGGAACCCCCATGGACCCAAGATTCTCATAGAAATCAGTCAAGTTTGGTGAAGGAAAAATAATGTGTAGTTACATTCAGTATGGAGGTGTGCTAAAGATCTACAAAGTGGATGGCAACATCATCAGCCTGAGGTATCAAGACATTTGTGCTGCCCATTACATTACAAACCACAGGAAAAGGGCAAATTCCTCAGCAGGATAGCGCTCCTCATAATTCAGCCTCCGCATCAAAGTTCCTGAAACCAAAGAAGGTCAAGGTGCTCCAGGATTGGCCAGCCCAGTCACCAGACATGAATATTATTAAACATGTTTGGGGTAAGATGAAGGAGGAGGCATTGAAGATGAATCTAAAGAGTCTTGATGAACTCTGGGAGACTTGCAAAAACCCTTTCTTTGCCATTTTAGGTGACTTTATTAATAAGTTATTTGAGTCATTGCAGAGATGTATGGATGCAGTCCTCCAAGCTCATAGGAGTCATACACAATATTAATGCTTTTTCCACTGCAGCATGACTTTATATTTATTACTGTACATTATTTCTGTTAAATTATAAGACTTTTATCTAACCAAAGTCAGATCTTACTGTCCTAATTAAATAATTAAAAATCAAGGCATGATCATATTTTATTTTGGTAAAATAAGCGTAATCTAGAGGCCTTTGCTTTTTTTATAAGCCATTTCAGATACCAAATGATTATGTAGAAGATATTATTTGTTGTTTCTAAAACTTGGATAGGCGACAAGACTTTTGTCAGATAGTGTATAATATAAGGCCTTTTTAATTTAGAACTTGAGGCACTTTATGAGTCACACTATTGACCTTATTCTCCGCAGACGAGCGGGCGCAGCAATTTGAATCTTTTTGGCACGAGACTTCCGGTCTCCTTCACTTCCATTCATTTTTAGACATTAAAAACTGCTCGTTTCGCTGTTTGATGTTGCAAACTGATATTTCCTTGTTGTATTATTCTACTTGGTCTGTATAGTCATGCAAACATTTGTTTGTAGAGCAAGTAGTTTGACCGTTTTTTGCCGTTTATTATTCCTTGTCATTTCTCCCATAGGCGACTGAAACAGAAGTTCTAAGACAATCGCGAAAACAGGCGCACTTCCGCATTTTAGAATAAGGTCAATAGAACAGTTTTAAGATTCAAAACAAAAATGTAAAGAAATATATAATACCACAGCAGTTTTTATAACAAGATGTATGAAAGACATTGACCTTTAAATGAATTTCAAATACTGCTATCACTAATTATATTCATGTACATCATGTAACAGCAAAAATGCAACATTTAAGAAACACCTACATGTAAGTAACCTAAAAAAAGACAAATCCCACCTGATTTAAACAGGGTATGGTGTTAAAGTGAAGAACTAAATGATGGATATATAAAGTGATTCATGTGCGGCTTTGACCCAGAAGTGAGATCCTGACACGCGCTTTCACATAAATAAAAAGAGACACCTGCTTCTACTGAGATGAGCGGAGAGAACTATGGGTAAGTTTTAGCACCAGCACAAGGCCAGAACGAACACAATTTTTTTCCCAGGAAGTGTTTTATGGCATGGGATGATTTTACAAGCTCAGTAGGACGCGCAGCACAAAAAGAGGAAGAAGTGAGCGTAGAGAAAACACATTAGAAAAGGACAAAAACAGAAAGAACAGATTCGGACATTAATAGACAGCTATAACTGAGCAGAGGAGAGCGAGTCAGTTTATGTAGGTCAGCAGTTGCAGTGTGTCAGTGAGACGGAGCACAGCGAATGGATGAATTATGTATTACATAAGGACACGACGGCCTGTAGGCCAAAACACACATACTGTCGAGCAGTAACACACACCTCCAACACACCCCGGATCAATGCTGAAATATCTGTGTTCATAACTGACTGCAGCTATTTTACCATTTAAAGTCTGCGTGAACAGGAGGTTCTGTATGTTAATGTACTCCCTACTGAAACAAATTATTGAGTAGGAGGCGGAGCTTTCTTTTGTGCATCATTCCCTCATAGCAAACTAACGGTAAAAGGGGTGTGGTAAAGAATATTTTGGCTGACGAGTTATGAATTTATTGCCATATCAGTTTCTCTGGTTATTTCATAGCATTTTGCTTCTTTGCAAGTTGTTTGCACTCGGCCACTTTATTAGGTACACCTGTCCAACTGCTCGCTAATTCTAATTTCTAATCAACCAATCAGATGGCAGCAACTCAATGCATTTAGGTATGTAGACATGGTCAAAACGATCTGCTGTAGTTCAAACAGAGCATCAAAATGGGGAAGAAAGGTGATTTAAGTGACTTTGAATGTGGCAAGGTTGTTGGGGACAGACGGGCTGGTCTGAGAATTTTAGAAACTGCTGACCTGCTGGGATTTTCATGCACAACCATCTCTAGGGTTTACAGAGAATGGTCTGAAAAAGAGAAAATATCCAGTGGGCGGCAGTTCTGTGGGCGCAAATGCCTTGTTAAAGCCAGAAGTAAAAGGAGAATGGCCAGACTGGTTTGAGCTGATAGAAAGGTAACAGTAAATCAAATAACCACTCGTTACAACCGAGGTCTGCAGAAGAGCATCTCTGAACACACAATATGTCCAACCTTGAGGCGGATGGGCTACAGCAGCAGAAGACCACACCGGGTGCCACTCCTGTCAGCTAAGAACAGGAAACTGAGGCTGCAATTCACACAGGCTCACCAAAATTGGACAATAGAAGATCGGAAAAACGTTGCCTGCTCTGATGAGTCTCGATTGCTGCTGCGACATTTGGATGGTAGAGTCAGAATTTGGCATCAAAAACATGAACGTATATGGATCCATCCTGCCTGGTATCAACGGTTCAGGCTGGTGGTGGCGGTGTAATGGTGTGGGGGATAATTTCTAGGCAAATGGGCCCATTAGTACCTATTGAGCATTGTGTCAACGCCAGAGCCTACCTGAGTACTGTTGCTGACTGTGTCCATCCCTTTATGGCCACAATGTACCCATCTTCTGATAGCTACTTCCAGCAGGATAAAACGCCATGTTATAAAGCGTGAATCATCTCAGACTGGTTTCTTAAACATGACAATGTATTCACTGAACTCAAAAGGCCTCCAGAGTCACCAGATCTCAATGCAATAGAGCACCTTTGGAATGTGCTGGAATGAGAGATTCGCATCATGGACGTGCAGCCAACAAATCTGCAGCAACTGCGTCATGCTATCATGTCAATATGAACCAAAATCTGTTGAGGAATATTTCCAGTAACTTGTTGAATCTATGCCACAAAGAATTAAGAACGGTATGAAGTCAAAAAGGGTCCAACCCTGGACTTGAAAAGTGTACCTAATAAAGTGAATAGATAGATAGAGACAGACAGACAGACAGACAGATAGACATATAGCTCTTTTATTAATCCATTAAATTACCCCTAGAATCAGAAGGTCCTTATTGACCATATTTGGATTGTGCCATGAATATTAATGAGCTCTGCTCTGACACAGTATTCAGTGCTTGCTTGCTTTCTCTCTCTCTCTCTCGGTCAATAATCACTGGTGGCTAAATATTCGGTGTATCCCTAACACAACAAAACAACAACACAAAGGTTTATAATGCAATGCAACGCAACACTGCAATGCAACAAAAATGCTACAACAAAACAACACAACAAAAAAGCAATGCAACAAAAACACAATGCAATGCAACAACACAACACAACGCAACAACACAACGTAATGCAACGCAAAGATGGTTATCATAACAACAAAAATTGTCAATTTAATATAAACAAAACATCAACGTTCAATTTATTTTAATTAAATGAAAATAAATTAAAATTAGCAATTAAATGTTTAAAGTGCTGATAAAGAGATGTAGAATTAATTGTCTTCAGATGCAATTCATTGTTATTTTTAACTAATTCAACAGAAATCAGACATTATACTTATACATAACAGTTTGGGAATTACTGCTCAATTATTGCCTCATTCCCTCACTCTGTAATTAGTCAGCTCTGACCTTTTGATTAAGTGTGACAGAAAACTAGAAAAACACATGTAGATGAAGAGCACATTTTAAAGAAATAAAACAAGTGGGAAATGAATACCTTATCACAATGTAACTCCACATTCAGGTCTCCTTTGTTTGTGTGCAAGCGCACGTAGCCTTTCTTCTTAACATACTGGTAGCGAACAGCATCGTCAGCAATAGCATCTGAAAGCACCGACAAATAATTTTATTCTTTGCATTTATGAATGACTTCGACAGTATTGACTACTTTTTCTGAACCATAATAGCCTTATTCTGAAAGAGAACAGGCACGGTAGACTGATTTGACAGCTGCCAGATGATTTGCTGAGCCAGGATTCAGTCTGGAACGAGCATTAAATACAAAGCAGCACTAAAACTTGCCATGAGTTTCAGGTATCGCACTGATGCAATGTTATGAAATGCATGCAACTTTTCCCAGTTTAAACAAAAGAGGAAATGGTTTCATTTGCTGTGTGCAATACTAGTCATAGTGAAACCCACTTTTGACATTTAGTGGATGCCTAAAAAAGTGACTTGCATTTAAAATATGCGGACATTAACAGTAAAGAAAATGAAAATAATACAAAGCTTTAGATTATACATTACTCTAAAATCATTTGTTATCAGAAGAGGCTTATATAAAAGGCAAAGGCCTCTATATTACGCTTATTTTACTAAAATAAAATATGATCATATCTTGATTTTTAATTATTTAATTAGGACAGTAAAGTCTGACGTTGCTTAAGAGAAATAATGTACAGTATAGAATATAAAGTCATGGTGCTGTGGAAAAGAATGAATACTGTGTATGACTCCCATGAACTTAGAGGACTGCATCTATACATCTCAGCAATGACTCAAATAACTTATTAATAAAGTCATCTGGAATTTCAAAGAGAGTGTTCTTGCAGGACTCCCAGAGTTTATCAAGATCCTTTTGATTCATCTTCACCGTTCATCATGCCTTGATCTTACACCAGACATGTTCAATGATATTCATGTCTGATGACTGGGCTGGCCAATTCTGGAGCACCTCGACCTTGTTTGCTTTTAGGAACTTTGATGTGGAGGCTGAAGTATGAGCAGCAGCGCTATCCTGCTGAAGAATTTGCCCTCTCCTGTGGTTTGTAATGTAATGGGCAGCACAAACCCTGCTGATGTTGCCATCTACTCTGCAGATCTCTCAAACGCACCCATACTGAGTGTCACCCCAAACCATGACTTTCATGATCCTTCATTAACCTTGACTGATTTTTGTGAGAATCTTGAGGTCATATGGGTTACAATAGGTCTGCAGTATTTGTAATGATTGAGATGCAGTTCAACAGATGATTCATCAGAGAAATCTACCTTCTGCCACTTTTCCAAATGATCAACTAGAAAACAAGTTATTATTTGTTGCTCTTACAATTGGGATCCATAGCAGGGCATTCATTTACTTACTGCTTATTTCTTTGTATTTTAAACATGCCTAGAAAGTGAGTAAATCATTGGCTAATAATTTTTTTTTGCCTTTACAGCGGTAGGAGCTGAGTGAATCTTTAGTTTATTGCATTACTTGCACTTCAAAAGACAAATGCAGACACGCAATGAATGTGTGTTGAAGAATGAAAATCAACAGAAGAATGTTGAAAATCAAAAATTATGGGGGGGGGTTATGATGTATTTTAGATTCTAAATGAACAAGACCCATTTCCATTTGCACCACTTTTATGAATTTTAAAGAAAAAGAAAGAAATACTATTGTAATTATCAAGAATTAGCTGAGCAGGCAGAGCAATGACCCTCTTCAGACACATTTCTACAAAAGTAATGTATTTTCGACTACTGTGATTGTGGAAGGGGTCGAAAATGCTTAAAACTTTTTACAGCCTGTTTACATCGATATTTAGTGGCATCCACTTGTGACCAGACCAACAAAAACACGTTAATACGAGGTGTAAAGTGAACCTTTGTCCCGTGGAGCTGGATAAAACTGTCTGATCCATTCTGATTTATTGGCTATTGGCTATCAGCAAGCAGCGAAAGCAGGTTTAATTTATAACTCCATTACCTGCTTCATGGTTGGTGGCTGGAGCCATAGCTGTAGATGTGAAGGAGGCAGACACTCTTCCAGTGGAATAGTGAGCCTGGAGGAAAATACACAGACATGCTTTATAGATAAGACTTTCCAGATAAGACTAAATGAGCCCCAACACCTCCAGCCAAAACAACTAAATGATCTTCACATGCATGACATCACTCTGACACATTCTGAAGAGTACTTCACACTTGATAATAGCGTTTATCAACCATGTTTTAGTGCAGACAGAGAGACAGTTAATGATGTTTTGTTGATTTATGTGGTGAAATTCAGGTGTGTTTGTGTGCAGATGTTTTATCAACAGGTCTAGATTCCCAGCTGTTCATGAATTAATAGTGATCATAATAATCATATAATGATAATGACAATAAGTCAAAATATGCTGTCTTCACAATTTGGAATACATATTTGGAATTGGCACAATAAAACAAAAGGATAAATATATTATTAAGAAATTACTCAATGTTTTTAATTTGGAATGTAATTCATTTCTGAAATGACAAAGGGGTTTTAGCACTCATTACTTCAGGTTTCAGTGTCACAATCTTTTAGCAATCATTATAATGTTCTTATTTGGTGCATTTCTTTTTTTTTTAATCAATGTCGAAAACAGCTGTGCTACTTAAAGGGCACCTATTTTACAAGATGTAAGATAAGCCTTGGTGTTTTCAGTGCGTGCCTGTAAAGTTTCAGCTCAAAATACCCATCAGATTATTTCTTATATAATGTAGAATCTGCCCATTTTGGTGTCTGAAGACAGTGTAGCTGTTTTTGTAGCCTGTGTCTTTAAATGCAAATGAGCTGATTCTCCCAACCCACAGATCTGACGTGTGTCTGCTTTTCATGCATTACGTCAGATAAACAGCAGTCAGTGATAGAGACAGACCCGGATGAAGCTAAAATAAGGTCACTAGTCACAAATATCAAGTAAGTTTATTTAATGTATTTGTGGTGGAGTTTATTCAAGCCTTTCTGAAATGATGAGTCTCACTCAAATGCTGTTTGCAAAACACACAAACACATATGTCAGCAATATGTTATGCAATGCAATTTTAGTTTTGGAGCACACTAGCTTAAAGATAACCTTAAGACTAACATCTTAAAAAACACATTATTTTGATTTCCCAGGGACTTTTCCTTTAGTAGAATCCATGAGATTATTTCCTAAATTCTGTTGAAATAAAGATAAAAATATAAATATAAAATAATCATTAAATCATTGTTAATAAATGATATAAGTAAATAAAACCAGCCCCTTTCTTTGATTTGTATGATTACAGAAAAAAAGATTCTGTTTAAATTTGGAGATTAGAAACATGACCATATTTATACTTGGGATATAACAGGATTTTTTTTGTGTATGCCATAGAATTAGTTAAGCTAAATCAGTAGTAGAGTGGGCCCGGATGCCAGTCTATTTCAGCATCACACTACCAATCCAGCACGGCTAGAGCTAAAATAGACTGGCATTGATGCCAAAAGTCCAGCCAATTACACTCAATGCATGCGCTGTGAATGGGCTGAGCAAGCAAAGCTAATACAGCTGAAAGCATGGGGGCAGACACACTTCAACCTGAGCTAAAAGAAGACTTGAGACATGGCCAGAGATGCACTCACACAACCACTGCAGAGCAAACATGGCACATTTTGAAACCAACCTATTGAGCTGCTTAACAGAAAGTGAGCAAATAATTTTTGTTTGCTTAAGATCATTAACACACACAAAAAAAAAAAACTGACATGACATTCATAGGAACGTCTTGTGATTTGTGCTGCGAGTATGTGGTTTTGTTAAGGATCCTGCGAGGCGTTTTCTTCTGCTCCAGTTGCTGTGTGATGGTGGTAGAGTCTGAGAGGCAAATCACTTCATAATGCTGAGACACTTTCATACACACGCGCACAGACACTCTGAGGTCTGATGACGCAGAGCTGTTTGGGTCAAACACCTGGCAAGAGACCCCATTAGCACCCATTATTGAAACTTTGATCTGAAGTTTTAAAACTAAAACTCTTAAAGGGACAGTTCATCCAGAGATGTACATGAATAACTGCTGATGATTAACTCGCCCTCAAGCCATTCAATTTTTTAAATGACCTAATTTACACTGGAACCTCCAGAATTCTATAACTACTAGAAGGGCTAGGGCTGCACAATATATCGTTTCAGCATTGATATCACAATGTGTACATCCGCAATAGCCACATTGCAAGAAATGCAAAGTTGAATCTGAATTATAGTTGACCAGGAGCCACACAACACGTGATTTGTAGGGTCACTGCAAAGTTCAACTATAATAGAGTAAAGGTTTACCATTTACGAGTGTTTTTAAGGCCTGTGATTAAGCATTTCAAGAAAGTCTAAATAAATAAATAAATGCTTTTCTAACTTAAAGTTTTTTTATTTCAATTTTTTTTAATTGTTTCAAGTCCAAATTTCTAAGTAAAAACAAGATTATTTTACTTGCCCCATTGGCAGATAATTTAGCTTATTTGAAGCAAAAACTCTTAATTTTAGGTATATTTCTTCTGAAGCTAAAAACAAAACCATATTTTTACTTCAAATATCAAAACATTCTTAGATGGAATAGAAACGAGACAAAGAAAAAAAGAATTTACATTGTGATTATTTTATTTCTGTATCTGAATATTGTTAGGCTCCCTGAAAAACTATGAAATAAAGCTATTCAGAACATCTTGTGAAACACATTCATATTGCAATATTTATTAAAGTAAAATAAATTATCGCAATGTCAGATTTTTCCTATATCGCGCAGCCCTAAGAAAGGCCATATCAGACATTCTGAACATTGAATAAAGACTGCAGTGCTGCTTCCCACACTTAAGCTGCGTCCCAAATCTCATACTTATGCACTATTCAACGCCATTTTGTAGTATAAATAGTGTAAGTAGTGTGTTCACACTGAAAACTTTAAAAATAATAAGTGCACTTTAATTACCCGGATGATGCACTCATTCAGCCGGTAAAATGAAGTGTGTAATGATGGACACTTCATGAACTTAACGACCGCAGGTTTGGTTACGTAGCGGAAGGGGCGGAGCTATCGGACGCACATGTTGAATAACTTTATTTATTTTGGATGGTGAAAGCAAAATTCTCCTACCAGAGTGATTATAGCGCCTCCCAATGGTGAATGCGGCAATACTGGCAGGTATTATTTGATAACTCGGTGTTTATTTCGGCCGGTAACGGTTTGAATTCCCGCTAAGTAAAAAAACATTAGTGTGCCATTTGGGACGCCACTTCATACATATACTATCCTGTTGAGTGTGTAAAGGCATACGTACATACTGCATGAGTGCATAGAGTATAGGGTGCCATTTGGGACGCAGCTATAGACTTTACTTGGGCAGGCCAAGTACGCTGTAAAACCCAAAAGGTTAAGGCAACTTAAACCCTTTCAGGAAACCGCATATCTTCACAAAAATAGTACATACTTATATGATGTAGTACAAGCATACGAATTGGGACGCAGCAAATGTTTTTGTGATCATAAAGTTTTGTTCATGTTTGTAGGAAGTTGCTTGGCAACAGAGGCACGCATATTCAAAGATGCAGGTAATATAGTAATGGCTGAAATGTATTGGGTTAATTTCACTGTTAAGGGTAGAAATTCTTAGATTTATTTGTGAAAACTGAAAAGTCAGGGTACAATATTTATGCGAGTCAGTTTTGGAGTAAACTTCAGTTTAATGAAGCTACTAGAATTCTTACCAGGTCAAGAAAATATGATCATATCACCCCAATTTTATCCTCCTTACACTGGCTGCCTGTTAAGTTCCGTATTATAAAATATTGCTTTTTCCTTATGAAGCTTTAAATAATCTAGCTACCGTTTATCTAACCAACCGGTCTTGTTATAATCCAACCCGCTCTTTAAGATCTCAAAACTCTTCTGGTAGTACTCAGAACAGCAAAGTCCAATAAAGGAGGTTAGGTCTTCTCATTTATGGCTCCTAAACTTTGGAATAGGCTTCCTGATAATGTCCGAGGCCCAGATGCACTCTCTGAGATTAAGGATGTGTCTTCTTAGTAAAGCATACACGCAATGCATCACATCACACAGTATGTTGCATAAGTGTGCTCCATGCAGGTGAGTGGGCTTGACAAACCACCTGTAGAAAACACTCTTCTTGTCCTTATGCACCAGGCATTTTGTTAGAAATATTTCTATGCTTTATATGCTTGTTTTCATGTTTGTTTATATAACTTCTTTTTCATTTATAGCACTTTCACAGTGACATTTAATATCTTGTTCAAAATAGATTATAAACAGCAGCTATGCTAATTATTTATTTTGCTCTCTATTCCCAACCCAAGGCCTCTAGAGATTGTGCAGCACCAATGATGGGATGAAAGACTTGTAAAAAGATGATGCTAATCATTGAGGACTGAGGACACATACACCTAACACACCTCATTAAACACATACAATGCACACAGACATCACCTATATGCTATAAAACTGCAGGTTAATTATGTTTATATAATAACTTATATTTGATTGCAACTTTAACTTAATTTAATTGTAATGCAATAACGTACACCTTTTGTGAAGCTGCTATGAAACAATTATTGTAAAAAGCATTATTCAAATAAACTTGCATAAAATTGAGTCTTATTTTAACAAAGTTATTAAACGACTAAATTGTAAAAGGGTCAAAGTTACTGCCTCTGCAGTTCTAGTTATAAAGAAAAAATAATCATATACAGGCACACTAATGATAATCATAACTCATGATGATGCACTGAGATCGAACTTTGGCAGACAGTCTGGAGCACAACTTTCCTATTATACAGATTTCCAGCAGAAACTGACAATGTTTGTTTACAACTGCTGGGTTGCAGGATAAAGAAAGTGCCATTTTGGTGTCTAAAATATTTTGAGGTGGTCTGATTTTACCTACTACCAGAAGTAATGGTTAATACATCAGACTGAATTGTTTACACAGTTCAAACACTCATGTAGTCAAATATGCACTATAAGGATTCAGAGGAATTCATTTGTTTGTATTTTCTCGAACTCTCAATGTGCTAGTAGCCACTGACTTGCTTTTTTGAATCAGCAAGGACAACAGTTTAAGCAAACAATCTTCTTTAATTTCCTTCTGAGGAAATATCAACTATTTTTGGATGCCCTAAGGGTGAAAAAAGCAACTTTTAATTTTTGGATATGATTTAAAAAAATAGTCGTTTTGCTACTCTGCTATGACTTCTCTATGTAAATTAGTTTTGTCATAACTGATAACATATCTGCTGTCTTCTGTATCATAAAAAAATGTGATATTTTGTGCCTGACAACTCATCCAATATAAAATCTAACTTGTGTAGCACAACCAGTTCAGTAAAGTACTAGAGACTGTGGTTTCAAAAATAAATAACTCATTCAGAATGGCAAAGAGAAATTAATTAAAGAAGACAAAAAGGAGAGAGAAGAAAGGCAATGTCTTCATCATAAAAACACTCACAGCATTGAACTTGTCTGTTTTTTTGGCTTCTGGTTCTTTCATAGTCGAGGCCAACAGCTCATCTCCTTTATAGTCCCTATAGAGCTCCGCAAGTGTCTCTCGCGTCTCCAGATTTGTGCTTTTCAGATGGTATGATGGGTCCTGTTTTGCTTTCTCCTCATCTGAAGATATAAAAGACGAAGAGAAAGAGAGAGAGAGAGAGAGAAAGAGAGAGAGAGAGAGAGAGAGAGAGAGAGAGAGAGAGAGAGAGAGAGAGAGAGAGAGAGAGAGAGAGAGAGAGAGAGAGAGAGAGAGAGAGAGAGAGAGCTTTTTAACAATTCAGCATCACTGGATTCACATTAACACTTGGTAAACTTTTACAGGGATTCTGCAGGTCAGATTTAAGACTTTTTAAAGACCATTATAAATGAAATGTTAGACTCATACAGGGCTAAACAAAGATTTTTTTTCTAATGGTCCAGTGGAAAAGGTTTTTACTTGCCCCATCAAAATAAAAGTCAAATTTAGTTATTTCTCAGCCACATATTTTAAATAAAGTGTCAGCACAAGCAAACTCAGTTGAATACATGCATACAAATTTTATTCAACATAACTTTTCTTCTTCTTCTTCTTCAAAAACAGTAAAGAATCTCTAAATACACAGAGAACTTTTAAACAACTGATATTTTAAGGATCAAGGCTGCACAATATATCATTTCAGCATCCTCACAATGTGAGATGTAGATAAAAACACAGTTGAAGTCAGAATTATTAGCACCCTCTATTTATTTTCCCCCTAATTTCTATTTAACGGACAGAAGATTTTCTCAACACATTTCTAAACATAATAGTTTTAATAACTCATTTCTAATAACTGATTTGTTTTATTTTTGTCATGATGACAGAAAATAATATTTGACTAGATATTTTTCAAGACACTTCTATTCAGCTTAAAATGACATTTAGAGGCTTAACTAGGTTAATTGGGTTAACTAGGCAGGTTGGTGTAATTATGCAAGTTATGGTATAATAGTTTAGTTTGTTCTGTAGACTATTGAAAAACAAAATAGCTTAAAAGAGCTAATAATTTTGACCTTAAAATGGCTTTTAAAATTTTAAAAACTGCTTTTATTCTACCCCAAATAAAACAAATAAGACTTTCTCCAGAAAAAAAAAAAACATTATCAGACATACTGTGAAAATATCTTTGCTCTGTTAAACATAATTTGGGAAATATTTAAAAAGAAAAAAACAATAATCAAAGGGGGGCAAATAATTCTGACATCAACTGTATAAACAGTAGATAATAAAGGGGACCTTTGTTATTTTTGTTATACATTATTGACTTTTTTATTCTTTTTTAGACCTTTATGTGGCACTTTAAAGCATCACAGTGAGTGATTATAAGACTTACATATTTGTTTTTTAACTTTAAAAATATTATATTGTAATCAATATCAATGGAGAGATCATATATGGTACTTTACCTGATAAAATGTTAATAAATCTATTCATTGTTTAATTAGTAGTTTTACCATTTTTTGAGTTTTATGTTAACAGCAACACCGAATACTTCATACCAAAATTAATATGCTATTCCATAAACAAAATAACCTTCGAATAAAAAAAAAATTCAAGTCATGGTACTGCATTCAAAACTGTACTCACCGGGGTCGAGGACTTTCATATTGTTTTTCACATGAAAGAAGTTGGAGACATTGAATTTATCCAAATTTGTAGGATCCTGGGATATAAAAAACATAAAAGGAGATTCTATAAGACAGCAATGTAGACGTGACAAACCAGACACATACTCATCACAATTATGAATTATTATTCGGCTCATGTCACATTTTCCTGAAACTCAAAGACATGTAAAAACTCCATTATTATAGATTATCATTATTATTGTCACCGTTTCATTTTAGTTTCAGTTTAGTAAAAATGTTGCCGGCTGGACAGTTTGGGGACTCATCTTCAAAACATACACGCATCTATGTTACTAAGAGGGGACTATCACTCTATAAGAGGAGACTTGGGTTTCTTTTCATTTTAAAGAAATAAATATCAGATACAAAATGTTCTTTTAGGGCAGCACGGCGGCAAAGTGGGTAGCACAATTGCCTCACAGCATGGAGGTCGCTGGTTCAAGCTCCAGCTGGGTCAGTCGGCGTTTCTGTGTGGAGTTTTGCATGTTCTACCCGTGGGGACCTGAAGCTCTGAGTGACATCTACCTATCCAACAGGGCAGATTTTCTCAACCATGTTCCTGGAGGAACACCAACACTAAATGTTTTGGATGTCTCCTCTGTCTATCACACCCATCCGCTTGTTAAGTGTGACGTCACGCGGTGTGGCTTCCGGGTCCAAGCGCTCTATTCAACGGAATGGGGAGATTCATGAAATGATAATAATAAACGTTTACAAAGCCATTTAATACTTTCGAAAGTCACGATCGCAATATATATGTCCATTCCTAATATCCAATGGCCAGAAAGTGATTCATTGTTTTAGAAATTGTTAAAATTTTGGTATTTGTTATGCAGCAAGCCCAGAGATTGTTGTGTACACTATGACTTTATGTAAAATAAACGTTAATGTGTGATAAAAATAAAACGTGATCATAAACGGATGATTTCTCCACTTAAGTGAATGGCGGCTTGGACCCGGAAACAGTATTACATACGTCACAAACACGTCATCACTTAACAAGCGGATAACAGGTCTTTCAGTCTTTGCTAATGAGCTAATGATCTGATTCAGGAGTGTTAGATTAAGGAGACATGGAAAATGTGCAAAGCTGGTGTTCCTCCAGGAACGTGGTTGAGAAACACTGCAACAGGGTATATTCATAGATTGCAGTGACATTGAGTGTGAAACACAGAAACTGCAATACCATGTGGGCACACACACACAAAGGAGAGTTCAGGGCCTTTCCATCTCTCTCTTTGTCCTCCACTCTTTGCTTGACCCACTGTAGTATCTGTTCCAAATAGGTCAAACAGTGAAACTGTACCTCATCCCATTTTAGTCCTGCTATTTCAGATAAACTCCCAGTCAACCGTCTCTCTATTTTCAATTCAAATTTTTATCCTCATCCTTTTCAAACTCCCCCAGCATTCCCACCTTACACATTGCTCCCATAATAACCTCTGTTTATTTCAAAAACTCTTTAACCCTTAAACCAAGCCATCTATCACTTTTGCTGCCCTTCCTCGAGGTCTAGGGATAGACACGTCCAAAGCCATACAGCTTGAGCTCACCCTAAAATAACTCTATTTCTCTGAACAACACCCATCAACTCTCTCATTGACCCAAAATAAACCATGCAAGGACACACCAGCATCGCTTGCTTGCTTGCTTGCTTTCTACGAATACAGGACACTGTAGGTCACATGCACATACATAGAAAACCCTGATTCAGCAAACAGGCTTTTCTCTTTCGCACACACACACTTTACCCTACATGAAGGAAGATATGGCATAGGCTTATAAGTTAACATTGACTTATTTAACTATACTTGCATAGGGGTGGTCAATAAGTTAGGTTATTATTGTGTATAGTGACACTACTGAATAAAAGTGCCTTCAAAATGATTAAATGTAAATGCAAAATCTCTTACACATTGTGGAAATGGTAGTCCAGATAATGACAGGTGTTCTCATTTTAGTTTTTGTCCTTTTTAAAATTTTATCCCACAACACTGACAAAATGCAGACTGATTATCAGACATTTTCAATTTATTTTCATAAAAAAAACACATTCATATTAATTTGTTTACATTTACATTGCATTCTCTTATGTTATACACAGTTGAAGTCAGAATTATTAGCCCCTCTGAATTATAAGCCCCCATTATTTTTTCCCCAATTTCTGTTTAAAGGAGAGAGAACACTATCTACCATCTTTCATTATTTTTTGAACATCAACGCTGAAAAACTGAAATTAAAACACACTTTGCCTAAAATGAACAGTCAATTTTTCCTCTTACAAAAAAGTAAAAATAAATAACTTGCAATTTTGGTGATAAAATAAATGTTTTCATAGTAAAAGTAATAAATAAGCAGTATCTCATCTAAATAAAATAACTCTTCTATATCCTATAAATAATCATTTAAACAGTGCATCTTCTAGCTACATCTTCTTTAAACAAATATTTTCAAATATATGCTCTCCCATGGCTCTCTGCTCCACCCACCTCCCTCACCGATATCAAGCAGACCAATGACAGAGCTTGCGATACGTGTCGTCGGGTTGTGTAGGTAAATTTTTTGAGAGGTGGCCTCAGGAACAGCGAGGAGTAGGTCACTGCTTCACTGGGCTATACTTGTGTGCTCAACACAGAAATTTCATGTGACTTCACAGTCCACAAGCGGTAGGGAAAGTAATTGGGGGAAAAAAAAAAATTATTTATATATATATATATATATATATATATATATATATATATATATATATATATATATATATATATATATATATATATATATATATATATAGACCTGAAAAAATTAGATTAATTATACTGTAGGTTCTAAATGTCGATTTCGATTACCTTTTGATTATTGTCACTGCCCTATTTACAGCCACTTCTGCAAAATGCCATGTGCCCTTGCTAAATAAATGTATTCAATTTCTTTAAAAAAAACAAATAAACAGAGCACAAGCTTTTGAACAATGACCTATTGCACAGATCCTAACATGCTTGAGCCACGCATGGATTTGTTGACAGAAATGTAACTCTGGTTACATAAGGTCATTCTAACACTTAAACAGATTTACAGTGAGGCTTAACACAATTTCGGACAGCAGCCACATGCTGCTCTACTGTTTAATCTTGTGCATTCAAAAACAGGGTATATGTTTGATTCAGAACTTGTGCAGTTTCTCAATCAGTGATTTACCTTCAGTGCATTCAGAGACAAAGCAAATCACAAGTTCACAAGGTTTCATGCAGCGTTTCATTTTAAGTTCTATAAATGGCATACTGTCATAACCAAAGACAATAACCTAATATTGATTTTTGTTGGACTTCAAAAACTGAGGAAAGTGTTTACAGTGATGCAGAGTTCAGACTGCATGATTTTAAGTCACAGATGTTTTTACACAGCATGACTATCTGGGGTATCGTTTCGTGCAACTGCAAGATGGATCGCCGACAGGGGGTTTCACACTACATGATAGTAAGAAGAATGGCCGACAACTTTGTCCAAACTCGCAACCAAATATGCAAGAGGTGGCGTGGAAACAAAGAGAGGTCATGTTGTATATCTTTAATTATTGACTACATAATGAGAAAGAAGCCTTTAGTGGAGTAGAGAATGTACTTATTTTGCTTAACTGGGTTTTGAAGCGAATTAACAATATCTCTCTAACTTTTCTCTGTTTCGGGTCTGTTGTGGTATTCAGATGACACCTCAAACAGACACGAGTGCTACTGTCAATTTTCCACAAAGTTTCCTCCAATTCTTCGGTCCAAATAAACTGAAAATGAGCGCTTTTAACTTCTGTGCCCATATTAGTATGCTGCTCTCTCATTGGCTGTAGGTGATCGTCGATGTTATTTTGAATCCGAACACATTTTACATGGCATGATGTCGAATCGCCGACTGCAACAGGTATTTAGGATGCCAAATATCTCACAGGCGACGGCAACTCATCTGCAATTCTCTTAGATCGAGTCTTTGATGGTTCACACTGTGTGATTGTCACTCACGTGAACAAGCATTGATTTGCTTGTGATTTCAGGCATTTGTCTGATATTTCGCAAAACCTGTCGGCGAGTCAAAATCGCGTCTAAAATCATGCAGTCTGAACTCTGCATAAGTCTCTTACAATGGAAGTCAATGTAGCAGAGCACTCCAGACAGATTTAAAGCACAACTGCAAAGGTCATGTTTTTCTTAAATGCTTGTAGTTGTTTTGTTTTTTTTCCACAAAATTGTGGGTTTTTCTCAAAATTTCTGCTTTAAAGACGACTAAACATTTTGAAGTTGCTAGACGCTTTAAATGTCATTTCTGTGTAGGCATGGGATGATAAATGTTTTCAGGGTATCCCGCGGTTTGGAAAAGTCAAGGTTTTAAAAGCGCCAGAATTTTCTGCTATACCGTTCCTAAGGTATGTAAAAGATCTCTTGTTTACGTCTTTTTGTTTGTTTTTTAGGAGAACAGCATCTACAGCAGAAAAAAATACCATGTTTTATGTTTTTAAACTAATGAAAGCAGAAGTAAATTAATGGTTTTAATGGATTTTTTAGCCTGACGTGTTTAATGCTCCAAAATATCTTAAATGTTTCTCAAAATAAAACTTATTGTGTTCAATGGGAAAAAAAAAATTTTCATTTATTACCCAACATTTAAAAAGAATACATTTTAGAGCAGTAATCACAATACCGTAAAACTGTGATATTTTTATCCAAGGTTATCATACCGTTAGAATCTTATACCAGCCCATGGCTATTCCAGTGGCTGTTTTTTTTTCGTCAGCAGGGGCACCACTGGCCCCTATGATAAACCGCTGTTTCTTTACCTTCAAGCTCTGCTTCCTTCAGTTGCTTGATGCATCGCATGTGCACATGAAGCAGCCGGTGAGTGCCAGCACACACACATATTATGTACATCTCAACATTCCAAAGTGTTTCTCTATATGTTTTTATCGAAGTTGTTCACAATACGTATAAATCCACAGAGTTTGTAATGTAGTCAAATGTTCCCAAAAACAAGCCCAGCAGTTTAGAGCTCATTCTGGTTAATGATGTCAGAATTTACCGGTATTTTGGAATAGATGTGTGAATGGTCTTTTCTGGCAAAATTCTGTAACGTCCGTGCTTGTGTGAACAATGCTTTTTCAAATTTACAGTTAAAGCTGTTCCGTAATTTTTCCGGAAAAGACCGCACACACATCCATTCCAAAATACCGGTAAATTCTGACATCATTAAATAGAATTAGCTCTAATGGCTGCAATTATATTAGGAAACAAAGAAGGGATGGGCCTTTTCTTGATGGTTTCAATTTTATTAAAAGCTTTAGCATTCATGCAGCTGCTTTGTGAGACATCCAAAGGTAGAAACGCGAACCGCAGCTAAACCTTTACACATTTGACTACTTTACAGATTCTGTGGATAGATAAGTATCGTGAACAACTTATATGAAAACATATGGCGAAACTTTCACATGCTGAGATGTACATAATGTGTGCTGGCGCTCACCTGCTTTATGTGCACACGCGACACGTCAAAGCAACTGAAGCAGAGCTTGAAGGTAAACAAACAGCCGTTTATCATAACCATTTTATAATAATAATAGTAATTCCTTACATTTATATAGCACTTTTCTGGGCACTCAAAGAGCTTTACACAATGGAGGGGAATCTCCTCATCTACCACCAGTGTGTAGCATCCACCTGGATGATGCAACTGCAGCCATTTTGCGCCAGACCGCACACCACAAACCAGCTGATTGGTGGAAAGGAGACAGAGTGATGAAGCCAATCATGATGAGGGGAGGGGGTTAGGAGGCCATGATGAACAGAAGCCAGTGGGCAAATTTGGTCAGGATGCCAGCGACCGGATTTTTAACGACCACAGAGAGTCATGATCTCGATTTAACGTCTCATCCGAAAGACGCCGCTCACTGAGCAGTATAGAGACCCCTTCACTATACTGGGGCATTAGGACCCACACAGACTGCAGGTTAAGCGCCCCTTGCTGGCCTCACTAACACCACTTCCGGCAGACATCGCTTTCCCATGTGGTTTCCCATCCAGGTACTGACTGGGCGCAGCCCTCCTTAGTTTCGGTGGGAAACCATGTGAGAGTTGCAGAGAGCTAGCTGCAGGCAATCGATAATTGAATTGAAATTTTTTTTTTATAATTTTTTACACAGTTGGCATTAAGAAGGAACATATAAACGTCATCTGACTAACATCTAGCAGCTAAATGTGTCTGGAAAAGCATTCAAAGGCTTTAATTTTCATAAACAGCGTGGATGTGGATGTGAATGCGTCTGAGTGTTCCGACTGGCTAAAGTAGACATTTCACATCAGCGCGATTTAGACGTGAACGCACTCTTTCTTCTGCTTTCACACAGTGCAGCATTCCGGCAAATTACCGTTAATGTTACAACTTCTCTTTCCAGAGAACTGCTGAAGTGAATTTACCGCTGTTTTCAAAAAGGGCCTGTTCACACATGATTCCTTCTCAGAAAATTGCCGATAATTTTCCGGAAAGGTCTGCATGTGTGAAAGGGGCAAACATAGTGAACTAAAACTATTATAAACAAAGAAATATGAAGTAAAGATGAAACAACATAAAATATAGATATTAAATAAAAAAAAATCTTGAAGGGATAGTTCACCCAAAAATGAAAATGCTGTCATTAATAACTCATTCTCCATTTGTTCCCAAAAATATATTTTGAAGAATGTTTGAAAAACCAGTAACGATTGACTTCTATTTTACCTTTGTTTCTACTATGAATGGCAATTTCTACATTCTACAAAATATCATCTTCAGGAGGATAGTACATACTGTAGGAAGCTTGCAATTTAGTAGTGCAGCGTATATGTGTGCATCCCCTGAAACTGATATTTAATCACATAGTAAGCACAAGGTTCATCAATAAACTACAAACTAACTGGCCAACTGCTGTCTGAAATATGAGCACTTAATACCAAACTCAGAAATGCCCACTGAAATAACAGCACTCAATGTTAAATCATTAGATTGTCCCTCAACAGTCATAAACACACAGTCTCAGGCCATTACCTGTAGAGTGATGAGATCCTGGCGTGTGAATGGTTCATCCGTCAACAGGTCTTTATAACTCTTGGTCTTAATGTTGAGCTGCTCTACTGCCTTAAAACACACACAAATGCACACAATTTTATGTAAAGCATTTTATTTACTTAAAAAAACGAGTCATTTAGTGTTAAAAAAGTGAATCTGAACATGCCTGAAATGGCAACTTTGTTTATTCAAACACACAACTATGAAGCCAGATAAACTTATTTTGAAGTGGCCATGATTTTTATCATAGCTCTATATACAATTCAAAGATGGTAAAAGCATGATATCTAAATTATTATTATTATTATTATTATTATTATTATTATGAGCATGATATTACGAACCGCACAGTTTTGCTGCGTGTATGTTCTTTCTGTCTCTATCTCTTTCTCTCTCTCTCTGTACCGGCCCTGTCATTTTCTCAGGTACCGCCTACTTTGGAGCACTATCGGCTGACAGGACTGCCAATCCTAATCAACTGTGTGACGATGACTTCTTTTTCTACCAATCGCGTTCGTTGCAGAGCCTTTTAAAAACGGAAGCGGCAACGGGGAGAAATCAGCTGTTGTTGTTTTGGCGTGTTGCCTGTTTGGTGGAGTCCGTGTGCGTTGTCGCTGCTAATGATGTGTACTTTGATTAAGATTTATTGATGTTGACTTTGAGTGAGATTAACTGATGACTTTGAGTGAGATTTGTTTGAGTTTTGACGAGTGTTTTCTACATCTCTAGCCCCCTATTGCTACATTCAAAAACCTTCTGTGACTTGACAAGGGAGATCTGGAACAACATAGTAAGTCACGTGACATACATTTTTGCACGCATGATTATTGATGTATAGACACACTAGTTAGCGAAGTGCGCTAATTTTGTATTTTTATTTATTAGTTAGAGTAAGTTCAGGGCGCTTTGCGCTGAAGACTTTTCTTTTCATATTGTTGTTTTCTATTTAGTGGATTGGGGAGGAGATTAAGGGAATGTTTTTGTTATATTTATTTCTTTGATTTCCATGCGCAAACTTCAGTTCCCTCTCCTGTTTGTCTTGGTTCTTTTCAACTTTATCTTATTGTTTGTAAATAATGTGGGAGCAATAAATCTTTTGCGGTGCTAATTTGTTGTTTGGTGTTTTCTCTTGCCATTCTTCAACATCAGTTTATACTTTGGTCATCTTTATGTTACTCCTTTTAATACCCTAGACAAATTGCCATCAAGGATCGTAACAAGCACCTTGACCTTCTTTGCTTTCAAGAACCTGAGATGGAGCGCTGTCTTGCTGAAGGATTTACCCTCTCCTGTGGTTTGTAATTTAACAGGCAGCACAAATGTCTTGATACCTCATGCTGGTAATGTCCTCTGTAGCATTTGTGATGATTAAGATACAGTTCAACAGATGATTCATCTGAAAAATCTACTTTCTTCCAAATGATCAACTAGAAGTCAAGTTATTATTTATTGCTCTTACAACTGGAATGGACAAGACTTTTGATAGATAGTGTGACAGGTATAAGGGATTCATATGTATAGTGCGAGAGTCAAATTGACTAATTTTATGGCCCTGTTTTGAATGTAAACAATCACTGATCACTGTATTTTCCTTTTCAAATTTATATTTTTGTTATATGAAAGTAGAAAAAACACTAGATGTTTTAGACATCATAAAAAAATAAACATAATAGCTGAAATGTAAAAAGCAATTTGAATAATGATAAATATTTCTATAATTAATTTTGCTATTGCAATAATTTACTGTTTTCATTTTGAGGATGCTGTTGAACTTCTATAAAAAATGCAATAAAATCCTTTTTTTCAAAATATATGCATTATATATTTTTATTTTATTGCATTTGTGATTTTTAATTTTTGTCGAAACTAGTCCAGAGCAATGGGTAATGGGTAAATGCAGAGTAATGGGTAAAAAGTAAAAAATAAAAAAATATATAATATTAATTATTAATATTAATACTAATAATAATAATTCTTGACTGCTGAACAAAAAAAACAAAAACCAAAAACTCCATGTGTAAAAATTATATGCATTCTGCTGCATAAAAATATGATACAACAAATAAAAATGTAGCTGTTTTACCTCATTAGAGAAAACATTCCCTGTGACTTTGTTAGCAACGATGTGGGAGTTGTTTGTGAAGACGGTGTAGAGCACAGGACAGTGGTACTTTCCTAAAGTACAGGGGAAAAAAGAGGACTTTAACCATTATCTCTCATCATTAACACACATTGCTGTTGACGCAGGCCAGGTAAGAGGATCAAGAGCGCACACACAAACATATTTACCTTCATTGTTTTTGCTGAAGTTAAGCTTGATAAGGGATTTAGCCTCCAGCTTCTAAAAACAGAAAGAGAGTTAGTGACTATATCTGTGAAACTGGCTCTCAGACACACCTACATTTTCAATTATACTTTAATCACACCCAGGAAAAGTTTAATTGTGTTTAATTACTTAGAATAAATTGACTGATTCATTCGGGACGTGCTTGGGCGATGATAAGACAATACATAAACAGACTGGCACTCATTTTAAACACCACTTAGTCATGGGAATCTAGTATAGTTTGAGAGAAATCTTAAAAAGGTCATTCATGTGTCTAATTGCACACAGATAAAAGAACAACAAGGAAACTTCAGCTTAAAAAGAAAAGAAACTTGGCAAAAGTGATGTTAAGAGTTGTCTGGCTAGTTATTCAGCTCGTAATTATTGATATGTAAAGGTAATGTACACACTATAGGTCAAACCTTTGTGGTAAGTAGTTTTATTGATCAGAAATGATACATTAAATTCATCACAAATGCCCTGAAAAAAATTATTCATAGATGATTCCTTAAATTTACTAAAGTTTTTTTTAAGGTAAGTAGTTGTATACATTTTGTTTGTTTAAATGTAGCCCAAATAAATTAAGTCGAACATTGGTGATTTATTTTTGTTTGTTAAATTAAAATCATTTTTTTAGTGTGAGAGTTAAATGACCTGTATACAAGTTTTGACTCTTCTGAAGTATAAAAATACCATAATTTGTTTGCAGATATTTAAGAAACATGCCAAGTGAATGCCAGTTTAGCTAATTATATTTCAGCCCCCCCAGGTTGCCTTGGTGGAAAACCACATATTTCATTCATTCATTCCGAAAGGCTCTCAAAGTATGCACTCATGACTGAAATGCGATCTCCGGTGGACAGTAGCAGATTCCGAAATGAGATGCAGATTCAGAGTTCCACATAAGGTGGTTATTAATTAGCAAGTATTATAAATATTACGAACGCAAACATTAGGTGTGCAGGTTACATTGCAACTCCATGTCCTATTAAGACGCTACGCAAAGACATTTACAGTGATAAGCAATTTGGCTGTTTGCACCAGACCAAACACAAGAGAAATTTAAATACAGCCGTTCAGAAGCACAGAATATACACTCACTCATGGGGTGGTAAGGTTTATACAGGGCTTAATTTGTACCGGAACAAGTCGGATCTGGAACCTCTGAAATCTCATCCGGCACCTCATTTTGCCGATCCCCCTCCTCACACGCACCCCCGCTCTTCACTTTCTTCCGCGACTCCCCACCCCTCTTCATTTTCGTCCGTGACAAAAACTCATCGTCAGACATGCTCCTGTTGGTCCTCAATCTGACAACCTGCGCTTCCATTTGTTTTTATCCAGGAGTGCAATACCTAGTTCAACTACTGGGTGTCAAGCTTACATACCGCACCTTTAAGCATTGTTCATTCAAGGTTTAGATCTCAAATAAATGCTGTTGTTTCAAACTTTTTATTTCCTCAAAATCATTTGGGAAAAAAAGTACTAAATAATAAAAATTAATAAAATTAAAGTCTTTTAGGATATAAGAGATTTCAAAAACACTTAAAATTCTTACACTTTTCCAAATTAATTGTAAGTGTTGCACGGTTGATATTTATTAATGTGCCCTACTGTTCAAATCTTTGTGGTCAGAGTATAGTTTTTTTTTTCTTTAAATAATGAAATGTTATTGATCAGAAATGATACATTTAATTAATCAAAGGTTGCAGTTAAGCGTTAATCATTTTTAAAAAGATTCAGATTTCAAACAAGTGATATTTCATAAACTAATTTCGAGAGGAGCACATGATATGATTGAATATTACTGATTACAAATAAGCAACCAGTCATGATCCAATCAGACAGATCTAAGCTTACAATAAATGAATACTTTTTCCCTACCGCTCTATCTTCGTTTTATAAGAATCCCCCATTCCACCCGACCACAGTTCTAAGGGTTAAGGGTTCTTACACCTTTTCATTGCCAGTTTGGGTTTCCAGCTTGTAAATATTGATATATAAAAGTATGTACCAGCTTAAACCTTTGTAGTCAGAAAGTTTTTTTTTTCCAAGAATTACATTTTACTGATCAGAAATTATAATAAATTCATTAAAACATAAAAGTCTTTCAAAATAAGAGATTTCAGAAACATAAAAAAATTGGGTTCTTACACCTTTTCAAAAGACAAAATTTAAGCACTTTCCAGGTGCATTTTCAAATATTTAAAGCAGTGTTTCCCTAACCCTGTTCCTGAAGGCACACCAACAGTACATATTTTGGATGTCTTACCTCTCTTATGTTCTGATATGTTGATTCAGGCGTTTTTGATTAGAAAGATGTTTAAAATGTTTACTGTTAGTGTGCCTTCAGGAACAGGGTTGGGAAACACTGATTTAGAGCATTTTAAAAGTGTGGCACAAAATACATACACATACTTCATCGCATTATATCAGATATTATTAGTTAACATAGTATTCTAAAGACAAGTTTTGATGGCATGTTTTCCCCAAGCATTTTCTCTCTTTGCTGTCATTTATTTGCATCTTAAATGTGTCATCTTTTATCTAAAATGAATATTTATTTTTAGTTCATGCATTTTTGACAAATGAAATAACAATTTCTATGTATTTTGTTTTCATTAAATTCAACAGCAAAAAGATTTATTCTATTTTATAGTTAATTATTCATACTTTAGTAACAAACATTATTATGAAAGCAACAACTACATATTCAAGCAGTTTCTTGACGCAAAATAAGCACTTGTCAAACCTTGAAAACCCTAGGATGAAAGTCAAGCATTTTCAAGAATTTGCAGCACTCGTACAAACACTGCAAATTCTTATCGACCTCAAACTTTGGAACTGTAGTGTTTTTTTTTCAATGCGAATGTAGCATATTACTCATGTAGCAGTAATAAGTAAACCATACGCCACTGACTCTGTTGCTAGTGGCTTTTACGGTTGGTGACCGAGGACTGTTTTGCCTGCAGGACACATATAACCTGAGCTCACCCTGATCCAGTGACACACTGATTCAAATGTGTGTAGGATACAGTCATCATCCCTCGGGATTATTTCTCTTTAAGCCTCTGCCTCTCTGGTTAACCCAGTAGCTGAACACACTGGACATCTGATTGCTAATCTCAGACAGAAAACTGTTTGTAAACCACCTGATCGATATGGCACACAAAAATGTAAACCCACAGTATGCATATCCACAACAAAGGCATAATTCGATGATGGCATGACTGAGTGTGGAATCATGAGAGTTGTGGTCATTATTACATCCTACAAGAGTGCTGCAGAAATCACGATCATGGGTAAACTAAAGTGTTTTACAGTTATTATCATAGTAGCATGAAGCAGAGTAAGGCTGAAAGCGTTCAAAAAAGAAATTTGCTGATGACAATACATAGTTGCATTCACAAATGCCAGTTAAAACTGTACTGTGCCAAAAGGAAGCCCAATGTTAACAGTGTCCTGAAGCGCCGTCAACTTCTCTGGGCTCTAAGGCATCTGGAATGGACCATAACGCAGTGGAAACTTGTACTGTGGTCGGATGAATCAATATATCAGGTATTTTTTGGGAGAGATGGACTCAGTGTGCTCCGCACCAAAGACAAGGATCACCCAGATATATCATATATTATATGAATAGAAACTATATATTTGGCACAATCTGTTCACCACAACTCTCTAATTGGTGGGATATTTAAGGCATCATTAGTAATGCACTTTTTACCACAAATTCCACAGTTAAATAAAATTGTAAAAAGAAATTAAATAATGCAAACAGATGGCTTCTGCTAAATCAAATAGAACTGACTAACAACCTCAGAGCTTATAAAACATATTTTTAAAAGCTTATTAGTTTTTAAAAATTAAGTACCCTATTTAGAAAACAAATATTTATCTTTACCTACTTGATAATATTGTTTTTAACACTCACAACAGCCTTATTTAAATCTGCAGAACAGGTGAAGAAATGCATTATATATTTTGACAAATGACTATGCATTGTGTTCATAAACTTAGTACAGTAAAATACTTTTATTAGGAAAAATAAATTAGGTCAATTTGGATTTCAGGTTCCCAAAGAATGCCAACAAAACAACCTATTTAGCTGTGCGTTTCCTGAATTAGCTCTATGCTGTGACATACTGCATTGTCTTCTTATTCTTTTCTTTTTAAAAATGTAGAGAGAAAAAAATCTTCCTCCACATTTAAGACTTCTGTTTGCTCCGTATAATAAAAAAATCTGACATAAGTTGTATTTATGAAGTAAAAAGGTTAAAATTATGACTTGTAAAGAAAAGTGTGAATATTACATCCTTTTTGGCTTCTAAATTTTGAATGGTGAGGATTTAAAATTTTAAAGGCATAGTTTGCTCTGACTCAAATAAAAAATATATTAAAGATTGTCGAAAACCGGGCAACACGATGGCTCAGTGGTTGGCAATGTTGCCTCACAGCAAGAAGGTCGCTGGTTTGAGTCCTAGCTTGGTCAGTTGACATTTCTCTGTGGAGTTTGCATGTTCTCCCCGTGTTGCCAGGGGTTTCCTTCGGGTGCTCCTGTTTCCCCAACAGTCCAAAGACATGCGCTATAGATGAACTACAAAAAGTTGTATGTGTGTGAATGCGAGAGAGTATGGATGTTTTCCAGTACTGGGTTGCAGCTGGAGGGGCATCCGCTGTGTAAAACATATGCTGAATAAGTTGGCGGTTCATTCCGCTGTGGTGACCCATGATGAATAAATGGACCAAGACGATGGAAATTAAATGAATGAATGATTGTCGAAAACCAGCAACTGCTAACATCCATAGCATTTGTTTTTCTACCATGGATGTCAATGGTTAGGTTTACAACATACAAGTGAATAAAGTCCCGCACTATAAGGCGCACATAAAAGCCTTAAAATTTTGTCAAAAATTGGTCGTGCACCTGATAATTCAGTATGCCTTATGTGTGCACCGAGTTCCAAAATCTGTAAAAATGGTGTTGTGCGACTTTGGTAAGCGCTCCGCTAGATTGACGTAGGAGTGATGGATGACAGACGGCGAACACACCTTTGCTAAGACTGGTAGGCAGTGCCGTGGATGACTGGGTTAAGGTATCTGCTGCTTTTTTGCGAAAGCCGGCATCGTTACTGAACAGCCACCTGGAAACGAGACTAATTCCGACAATAGTGAGAGATAACCCAGCATGTTTGATGGCGAAATTGCCCAGCTGTTCCATTCAGACAGAAGATGAGGACTTTGATGGACTTGTGAAAGAAGACTGATTCAAAAAATGTGAGTGTATTGTTAAATAGTATGATAAAGTTCAACTTAACGCACTGTTTTGCTTCCGTTACCTTTAGACCGTATGTTTTAGCATGCGCCTTATAATATGGTGCACCTTATATATGGGTTAAGTACAGAAATAGACCACGTAATTGAGACTGAGTCTTTTAATCCAGTGCGCCTTATGGTGCAGAAAATATGGTAAGTAGGTAATTCAAATTTTGGGGTTAACTAACCCTTTCACCAATGCATTGTATCTTTAAAAAAAACAACACAACCTTCAACATGCTTCACTACTAACCATTAAAATACAGAAACAGAGCAGAACACATGAGAACATGATGCCTGCACAGGAGAACAAGCCTTGACATGTCCAAAAGATTTAAATAAAGGTCACCGTTACACACACACACACACACACACACACACACACACACACACACACACACACACACACACACACACAGAATCTGTTTCTCCTATCACCCCTCGACATATTCAGTACTCTTTTCCATCTACCGAAACAAATCAATCATGAATACTTCAGATAACAGTCCAACTGTGTGTACAAAAACCCACACACACACCATCACAAAGGCATGTCCAGACTTGCACTCACTCAGAAGCACTTATGAAGATGTAAAGACAAATTACAGCAGACAGCCATGTGCTTCGAAGGAAGCTGAAGCAAGAAAGTACAATACATGCTGCTTTACATCTGAGTAAGTCATTGTGTACACAGTGGTACATGCTAGTGCTAACTGATTATACATGCAGACGCAGAGATCCTAGAACTCCCGTTTCAATAAATTATAAGTGCAGCGATGTGCGTCCAGTGAACTGATTATACAGCAATTTACACCCACATCCACTCCTGGCACACAGCGGGACTGGCAATATCTTCATATAGTCTCAATCGTGACTTCTAGATGCATACAGTAATAGAGTATTTTCCCTCTCAAAGCGACACAAAGCTTGACTGCTCTTCAAAATGCAAAATCAAATCCAAAATTGCCTACATTTTGGAAAATAGGCAATGATATTATGATTATGAACGGCTTTTGGTTGTGTTAATAGTTTGTGTTTTTAGAGTTTTGATATGTGGTTTCTGGACGGTGCTACAATGATGATAAGCATTGATATTTTGGATTTCGTTTCTACATTTCAAATTTTGCCATGTTTTTTCCCCCCATTCAACTTTTTATTTATATTTAATTCAGTGTAGTCATGGTTAAGCTTTCCATGTAACCTTTTACCTTTATTTTAACTAATGCCTCTAATTCGATTATCCAAAATTATTTTCAAAAGGTTAATTAACAGTAATGCTGGTCAACAGAGCAAATTAAGAAAACACACCCACAATAACTTGTAGATACAATTTAATATTAATATTATAGAAGCTTTTTTCAAAACAAAACAAAATTATTAAACAAAATTAAAAATTAAACAAAATTAAATATCAAATAATAAATCAAACTATCAAAAGAAGCACTCAAATGATAAATCAAATACTCAAACTATTAAATAAGAAATCAATATGCATTCTCAAATGACAAATCAAATGCTCGACGATATTTGATATTTAATTTGCATGATCAACTCAGTATAAATCTGTGATAGTTCAATGATAAATGCTCAAACTAGCAAACAATAAATCTACTAAAAAGATTAAATAATTAATCAAACTATCAAAAGAAGCACTCAAATGAGAAATCAAATGCTCGACTATATTTGATATTTAATTTTCATGATCAACTCAGTAAAAACCTGTAATAGTTCAATGAAAGATTAAATGCTCAAACCAGCATTGGAAACGCAAACTGATAAATAAATCAAATGCAAATAAAGAGTGCCAACAAACCAGGCATAAACAGCAAACAAGGACCTGTGCATTCTAGATTTATTTATAATGTTTGTACTATTTAGTGCACTTTTGACTTGTGTCGTGCTGTTTTAGGAGCATTTGATTTTCTTATTCAAGGTATTGTTTGTTAAACACAATTGGAAAACAACCTCAAAGGGATCCATGTTCACCTTGTTTTTCACAAAACTGTATAAAGCTGCTCAATAAAAGCCTAAGAGCATTGTGTGAATGAACAAAATTATATAATTGTGATTTTTCTGAAAGACATTCTGATTTGATTTGTGACGTAATTTTGTGAAGTCAAGTTTCAGTTCAGTATTTTTAAAAAGTGCGCAGCACACATTTTACATGAATGGAAGTGTATATAATAACATATACTGTATATAAAAATACATTCATATATATATATATATATATATATATATATATATATATATATATATATTACTATTAACCATCCGTAAATTTACCGTGATTTCCCTTGAATCCGTGACTCGTGACAACACAAAAAAAAAAACAGAAGTCGCTGGAATTTTTTTTTAAGTATGTCTTTTAAACAAGCACCATGATATTCGGTATAATTGAGATCTGTATACACGGGCAACATGTTTATTACAAAGGGTTAAAAGTTTTCTTAAAAAGCATCACTAAACACTTCTTATAAAATTGAATAAAGCACAGCTTATAGGTTACAACTTTGGATGCTTCGCTATCAGCATTGAGTTGACCACGCTGCAGTTTTAATGGTCGTCAGACTTTGTGTTTTGCTTCTCCTGATGGAGTCTGATGCCCTCTAGTGGCTTAATCCACGTGAGATTTTTGACCAATTTCATGTCTTAAGTGCATTTTGAAATGTCAGTGTCAAATAATCAATATATTATAACTATTAAAAATGAAATACCTCTCCAGTTATGGGGTTGGTGCCAAATCTCTTAATCCAAGGCACTATGCTCCTAAAAAGAAAACAAATGCTATTTATTTCCAGCATCATCATAACACCATGTACAATAATAACAATACTTCTGTTATGTGCGTGTTTTAGATTTTCTAGTGTAGTTTAAACCAGAAATTTTCATCACAGCATATTTTACATGAAACATGATAAAACGATAATATTGTTCATATTACTATCATTTTAAAAATTCAAAAGAAATAGTGTCATTTAATTTTGTAGTTCAAAGCTGAGGTTTCAGCATCAGCAATTAAGTCTTCCATGTCACAAATAAACAAAAACCCTAAAAACATTTCTTATTATTGTCATTAATGTTTAAACTATTGCAAAATTGATACAAAGATCTGACCCTGGACCACAAAAATCAGTTATAAAGGTCAGTTTATTGTTTTTTGTATTGTTATTGTATATAAAAGTTTTCTATTTAGCTGAGATACAACTATATGAAAATCTAGAATCTAAAGGGTTCAAAACATCTAAATATTGAGAAAATTATTAAATTAAGTTCTTAGCAATTCATATTTCAAAATCAAAATCAAAATTCAGTTTAGATATATTTATGGTAGGAAGTTTACAAAATAAATTGAACATTTGTTTATTTAATATTTTAATACTTTATGGCATAAAAGAAAATTTATTTTGACTCATTCAGTGTATTGTTGTCAACTTTATAAATACATTCATGCAACTAAAGACTGATGGATTTGTAGGCCAGAGTCATAAATGAGAAACAGATATTTACATTATTGCATCTTTGCTGAATTTAAGTTTGTTTGTTTTTGTTTGTTTGATTATTTTTGCTACATGAAAAACTTATGGCATATATGACATAATGACAACAACTTCAAAAAACAAACCCAGAAAAACTAAAATGTAGATAAAAAAAACTAGTGCTGGACGACAATTAAATAAAAATAAAAGTTTGTTTTGACCATGTATGCGTTTATGCTGTGTATAATTATTATGTATATAAAAATACACGCATGCATATATATAAATATCTATGCAAAAAAGTCATGTACGGTGTATTAAATTTACATTATCTATCTATCCGTCTGTCTATCTATCTATCTATCTATCTATCTATCTATCTATCTATCTATCTATCTATCTATCTATCTATCTATCTATCTATCTATCTATCTATCTATCTAGAGATATATAGAACACACCAACATATTTTATGTGAAAACAAACTTTTATTTTGGATGCAATTAATCATGTTTAATCTTTGCCTAGCACTACTAAAAACATTAAATATGATTTTTCTGCTGAATTACAATTTCTCAATAACAATTTCTCACCCAAAGGTAGCGTATATAACAATAACTAAACCTACGGTAAGTACATAATAATAAACAATTAACTATAAAGTCAAGAACAAAAATAATGGCTGAGTAAAATATCTCATTATGCTGATTATGAGAGTAACATACTCACATTAGGTCAAAAACCACCCCATCCACTGTGCACATGGGATACTCAAAGGGCTGAAGAGACAAACTATGAGAGGGATAAGAGACAAACATTAAGATTGAAAAATCCAAGCATACAGCATTAGAGCCTTGTCATTAGGCCTTGTCCACAAAAAAATAAATAAAAATAAATCTGTCCACATGATAATGCAAAAAACGCACTGTAATGCATGTTAAGGGCATGCCAAACCGACAGGTGGAGATAATGACTCCAGAACAGAGGCGGATTACCATCCTGTGGGCAAAATACTTGATATGTTTGCCACGAATGTACGAATTTGCATCACATTCGCTTCTTCTGCATTTGGTGTGGACTCAGCCATCTTGGCCAATCAGAAAGGAGAAAACATCACCCACACTGACGCCATGAGGCAAAAACTTCGGTTGTAGCGTTTACATGACATTTAAAAAACTCTTCATTCTGGCCAGACTTTCAGAAAGATTCGCTTTCAGTCATCTGATACTGTGTTTTCGAGTGGACAAACAGTGAAACTGCATAGAAAAAAAAGAGTGATTTTGAAAATACCCATGTTTGTGTGAACATGGCTTTAAGCTTAAGTGTGACTTCTGAGCAAACAATGTAACCAAACAAGTTTTTTAAACAATCTCCTAAACTTCTAATGAAATGTCAGAGGAACAACACATTTCAAAACCTCAAAACATGACTATTTGTGCTACGAGATAACATGTCACAAAGCTTTGGAAATGGCTTTATAACCAGTTTCCAGATTTCAGTTATTTTCTTTCTCATTTGTTTTTGAATTTCTTTGGATCTCAGCATGATGTCTAGCTTTTGAAGATCTTTTGGTTTACTTCGCTTTGTCAGGCAACACTTATTTAAACGATTTCTTAGGTGTGGGAGTAGTCAGGCCTGGGTGTAGCAAGAGAAAATGGACTTGTGATAAACCAGAGTTAAGTTGCTTTAACAGGGGGACAAACACTTTTTCCACACCGGGCTAGCTGTAGTTTTGTCTTAATAAAAACCGCATATGTTTACTTGTATTATCTTTGACTAATATTTAAATTTGTTTGATAACCCGAAACATTAAAAAGGAACAAACAAGCAAAAAAAATAAATAAATAAAAAAAAAAGAAATCAGTAAAGTAGCAAACAATTTGTCCACACAACTGTATAGGTTATTAAAGCAGGTGATCTGGTTTTGAATAATTCACTGGCAGTTTTACAACAGTTCATCCTTTAAAACGGTTAATCTTTTATGCATTCAAGATTTGTAAAATGCTGTCTTGTGGCAGATTGCTTTATTTAACTAGCAGAACCTAGCATTTGAAGTTCTACATCATTGATCACCAAACTTGTTCCTGGAGGGCCGGTGTCCTGGAGATTTTAGCTCCAACCCTAATCAAACACACCTGAACAAGCTAATCAAGGTCTTACTTGGTATACTTGAAAAATCCAGGCAGGTGTGTTGAGGCAAGTTGGAGCTAAATCCTGCAGGGACACCGGCCCTCCAGGACCAAGATTGGTGACCCCTGCTTTACATCATCAGTTAAGAAAGCAGACTTTATTTTACTAGACGAAAATCTCTGACCAGAAGAAACACAGAGAACTTGTGTCTGTCCAACATGAAAGAAATGTTATGCATAAAACTCACCTGCAATGATCAAAGGGCAAGCGTCTGAAATTGGCTTGTGGGATTTCTATAAACAAGATCACAAAAGGCTTATTTCAGAGGCAAAATCAACAGCAATATCAACAGTAAAGGGCAGAAAACAAGACCACATATGGTGCAATCAATCAAAGTAGTGAGCGACAGGAAAACCAACATCATTACATACAATACTGTTCAAAAGTATGAAATACACTTTTAAAAGTTGTTTTCTAATCACAAAAAATAAATATTATAAGACGGTTACCAAAATGCCATTCAGTGGAACAATAGTTAAAGTCTAAAAATTACTGTGAGCAGGGCTGCACAATATGTCATTTCAGCACCAATATCGCAATGCGCAAACCTGCACTAGTCACATTTCAAAATATTCCTTTTGTGAAATTATATTCATATTGCAATCTACAGTGCTCAGCATAACAGAGTACAGCCCATTTTGAAAATTAATATTTTTTATGAATTTCTTAGTAAATATAGGAAATGTTTTTTGGTGCATTTAAACAAAACAGATTTATTAAACGGATATATTTATTAAAATAACATTTTAGTCACCAAACAAATTTAGAAATTGAAAGATAATACAATTAAATTCAAGCAAAATATTTCATAAAACAAAATTCAATCAGCAAAATTGTAACTAGTTTTTAAAATTTTTTTGCTTCTCTTGATTTTTAAACTTGTATTTAATATTTTTCTCTAACGTATAAATTTGGCTGTACTAGTTTTTAGACCGTTATCGTAAGTTATTTTGTTAGATAAGCTCCAGATTTGGCTGCAGTACTGACTAATCTAATGTATATGCACAAATATAATATTGTATAGCTTCCTATTAAAAATATGAATTTAATAGAGAGATTTGTGAGGGGTGTACTTATATATACTGAGCACTGTCGCAGAAAAACAAAATATCAGGCATAACTGTAGGGCACACTTAGAACAAGAATCACTGACTTGACGACTTATTTAAATTTCACAGTGCAGCCCAAAATAAAATACAGATTAATTGTAATATTTAATATTTCCATTTGGCAGAATGAGTTTTAAAAACTTGCCATATTTATGATCATTTTTAAATATTACAGACAGGGTTCATACACATTTTTACAACTAAAAAATTCCATGACTTTTCCATGACTTTCAAGTAAATTTTTATGACCTAATGTTCCATGCAATGTCTACATATAGAAAGTCTACAAAAGAAAAACAATGAGTGTTCAAATGTATTACGGCACTTTGTAAAACACACAACAATCTATTTAGTTTAAATTTATATTTCACTCATTCATTCATTTTCTTTTCGGCCAAGTCCCTTTATTAATCTGGGGTCGCCCACAGGAGAACATGCAAACTCCCAGAGAAATGCCAACTGACCCAGCAAAGGCTTGAACCAGCAACCTTCTTGCTGTAAGGCAATTGTGCTACCCACTGCGCCACCGTGACGCCAAATTTATATTCATTTCTATGTAAAACTTATGTAGATAATGCTTACAACCACACTAATAATGTGAGAATGTGATTGGCCAAGGACAGAATAGAAGTCAAGACAACTAACCTATATTCTAACCTATAAGTATACAGATATCTGTTTTCCATAGGTGCGTCCCAAATCGCATACTTACGCACTATTCTACGCTATTTTGTAGTATAAATAGTGTAAGTAGTGCGTTCACACTGAAAACTCTATAAATAATAAGTGCATTTTAATACCAGGATGATGCACTCGTTCAACTATTACAATGAAGTGTGGAATGTTGGACACTTCACGCACTCAACAGTCTCAGATTTGCTCACATAGCGGAAGGAGCATTGGTATAGGGTGCACATGTTGGATTACTTTATTTATTTTGAATTGTGAAAGCAAAATTCTCCTACAAGAGTGATTATAGCGCCTCCCGAAGGTGAATGCGGTTATCCTTGCATATATTATCTGGTCCTTTGGTCATTTATTTTACTAATATGGCAACCATCAAACGTCATCAGGGAAATGGTTTGAATTTCCGTTTAGCAAAATAACAGTTAGTGTTCCATTTGGGACGACAATACATACATATACTATGCTGTTGAGTGTGTTAGTGCAGGGGTTCCCAAACTTTTCAGCCCGCGACCCCCAAAATGAGAATGCCAGTGACTCGTGACCCCCAATATTCTCTGAGGTGGTGGTTATAAATACAGAAACCTTGTATGCAATGACGCACACACACCAATAGACCCAAGTCTATTCTTTGTTTTTTTTATGTATGTCAGTGCTGTAAATGGGCTAGAAAGTTTAACCTGGTGTTCCAAAATCTGCTGCATCTGACAGTATTGCTGTGTCTTAAGTATAATGTAATTACTCAAGAAGACGCAATCCAATAGAACTAGTAACTATAAGCTACTATAGTAACTATATAGTTTATAGTAACTATAAACAACTATTTTTTTCTCATCAGTAGGTTATTGATAAAATACAGTAAGTCTTAAGGTTTAATAAAAATTAATTGATTTTTGAAAATCACCAGGCAACCCCCATTCATTGTCCCGCGACCCCTCGGGGGGTCCCGACCCCCACTTTGAGAACCTCTGTGTTAGTGCATAAGTACATAGTGCTTAATGTATAGCGTGCCATTTGGGACGCAGCTCATGACTTTTACAAAACTTTGTGGGTTTTCCTTTTTTTCCAGGCCTGGAAAATGTCAAGTCAAAATTCAATGATTTTTCTAGGTTTTCCATGACCGTATGAACCCTGTACAGTGCTCAGCATAAATGAGTATAACCTCCTTTTGAAAATGTATATTTTTATCCACGTCTTAGAAAATACAGCCAATAATCTTGGTGCATTTAAACAAAATATTTTTATCCATTAAAATAAAAGTTTGGATACCTAGTGCCTTTAACAATAAAAAGATAATATATTTAAATTCAAACAAGTTATTGCAATATATATATATTTATACAACAGTTGTCTGGTTCTTGAATCTGATTGGCTAATAGCCGTGATATATTTAAGTAATTTCAGCACCCGTAAAGCCTCTTTACCTCTTTTTTTTGTGTATTACTCCGCCCACATACAACCAGCAAAAAGCAGACACTACAGATCTAAAGTTTAAAAGATGCTTGCTCAGCTGTTTAGCTATCAGCTTATGATTTGAATCCAAGGTGGAAGAAAGTAGTTCCTCATACAAAAGGGTTTTTGAGAATCTCCATGTTTGATTTTGTTTTTATATACACAATTATGCCGTTAAACTGTTGTATAAACGCAATATCACACTCGTAGCAGTGCGATATGGCTGTATATCGGCACTGGCGGGGGCACTAAGGCACTCGGCCTCATGCCAACGCACATCTCCCACCAGATATACAGCCATATCACACTGCTATATATATATATATATATATATATATATATATATATATATATATATATATAGACCCACTAGAAAAATGACAACTGTTTTGTGTTTTATTATTTTTTTATTGAATAATTTTCCCAAACATAATTGTTACTGACTATATGCATAAATATATTTACGCTAAATGATATAACACTATTTCTATTTCACCAATATGTGAGATTTTATTCAAATAGACACTTCTCTTGCATTTCAAATGTTTTCTATGTAACTTATAAGTTATATTTAATTTGATAAAGAAACAAAAATGGTACGTCCTACAGTCCCAAAAGCTTGACATGACTTGAAGTAAAGTTACATCAGGTTAACGCAAATACCTGCTTTCTTCCCTCCATAAAACTGGGTGTATTCTGTAGATGTAATGTACCTGAAAAACAGAGTATTGAATAAATCATTTGAAAGCTGTATAAAGAGTATAACGTCGTCATTTACATATTTGCATTCTTTAGATAATTCATGTTACGTCGCTGAATCTAATACATGAACATTAATCAAAATGCCGTCGTTGCAGCTGAATGAAGAACGACTTACTGTCCCAAAATTAAAATTAAAACATTACAAACCCTAAATAATACAAACAACGCAAACAGTTAAAGAAGCGTACTCAGTTTTCAGTGAAATAATAAAATTCAACCGTTAGCAAACGTGTCATATTTCACTCCAGCAACTCACATCTTGTCTTTTTGATGCTGTCTTTTCCCCATTTTTGCGACCTAAGCGGTGGTGCTAAATAAAAGAATTAAAATTCAGGAGTTTATAAACAAGCAACACAAACGCACGACTGTTTAAATACTCTACTTCCGGTGTGTCCTAGGCGCGACCGGTAAATGCGACCGACCTAAAACAACAAAATGTTTTTGGTCCTCTTCGGTTTTGACTGAGATACTGTTCATAAAATTCGTTTTTTAATTACTGTAAATTATGTCTATGCTCAACTTGGGATGTCTGAATAATACTCAATAATGAGGGGGATATTTTAAAGTGTTTGATGTTTGTTGATCACAAAATAAAAAAAACATGAAACCTATGAATTCATTCATTCATTCATTTTCTTTTCGGCTTAACTTAGTCCCTTTATTAATCAGGGGTCACCACAACGGAATGACCCGCTAACTTAACCAGCATATGTTTACGTATGTTGTATCCTTTCAGCTGCAACCCAGTACTGGCAAACATCCATACACACTCATTCACACACACTCACACTGCGGCCAATTTAGTTTATCCAATTCACCTATAGCTATGTCTTTGGACTGTGGGGGAAACCGGAGCACCTGGAGGAAACCCACACCAACATGAGGAGTACATGCAAATGCCACAAACGTCAACTCGAACCAGCGACCCTTTTGCTGTGATGCAACAGAGCTACCAACTGCGCCACCGCGCGGCCTACATATAAACTAATTCATTTCATTTATCCCGTGAAACAAGTTGTTAAAAACGTTTTAGACATGCAATCTGCATGTTCTTTTTGTGAATTAGAGGAATTGCTGAAACACCTGAATACTCATTGAATGCACATATTCCCAAATGTTTTGGTTTGATGTTAAATATGTTATATTTACACGTACAAAATAAAAAATGCAGTTTTCTTGTAAAGATATTTTTGACATACAATAATAATAATAATAAAACTTTGGAGCAAATTTTGTTTATTAATTTAATGATTATACAGTGCTCAGCATATACAAGTTCACCCCTCTCAAATCACTCTATTAAATTCATATTTTTAATAAGAAGCTATATAATATTATATTTGTGCATATACATTAGATTAGTCAGTACTGAAGCCAAATCTGGAGCTTATCTAAATAACTTATGATGACAGTCAAAAAACCGAGTACAGTCAAATGTATATGTTAGAGAAAAATATTAAATATAAGTTTAAAAAAGAGGAAAAATCAAGAGAAGCAAAAAAATAAAATGAAAAATTTAGTTGAAATTTTGTAAGTTGTACATTTTTCACAATATTTTGCTTGAATTTAATTGTATTATTTTTCAATTTTTAAATATGTTTGGTGACCAAAATATTTTTTAATAAATATATCTGTTTAATAAATCTGTTTTGTTTAAATGCACCAAAATACATTTCCTATATTCACTAAGAAATGGAGAAAAATATTCATTTTCAAAATGGGGTGTACTCTATTATGCACAAACAAAAGTGGTCCATTGATAAACCTAACATTTATTTGTTTAAAATTCATCTTACGCATTATTTTGAAAACCTAAAATACTTTAATAATTAAAAAAACTATAAGGATGTATGCAATTTTGGAATCAATTTCCTATACAAATTTATTGTAATTTATATGTTCCCTATAATTTTTTTTTAATTTATTTAATTTTTATTCTCTATTGATTTGTTCATTTGATGTAAAAAAGATTGAAGTACTGTCCCAGCAAGCACTTTTTGTTTTTAACAGATGCCTAATAGAAGTCTAAAGTTATCTTTAATAAAACAAGACTAAATTCAGGTTGTCACTGGAAATCTAATAGACATTTAAGAACAGCCCCAAAATAGACTCGTCAAATAGACAGATCCCAGCAAGCATTTTTTGTTTTTAAAAGATTTCTAATAGACATCTAAGCATAGTCATCTTGGCTAAAACAAGGCTAAATTCAGGCTTTCCGTGAGAATCAAATAGACGGCTAAGAATAGGCCAAAACTAGACTAGTCATCAGATAAACAGAAATGAATGATTACACATATAAAGTCTGTCTAATCTTTCTTTTTGACGACTAGTCTAGTTTTGGGCTATTCTTAGTCGTCTATTAGATTTTCACTGACAGCCCAAGTTTAACCTTGTTTTAGCCAAGCTGTCTACGTTTAGTTGTCTATTAGATGTCTATCAAACACAAAATTGTTTGCTCGGGTATTCCTCAATTTTTTGTATGCTATTGTTCTTGTTATGAATAAAAACAAAACAAATAAATAAATAAACAAAAAAGAAATACCAAAATGATGTTACAAGTTTTTGTTTTTTGTTGAGCTATATATATATACATACATACATACATACATACATACATACATATATATATATATATAAAACAAGTGATGATAAAACACAACTGAGGCACATGCATGTTACATAACATTTTTATTCTTGTCATCATTTGTGGATTTCAGGGCTGCTCAGTGGCCTCTTCCACAGGAAGTCCGATACGTCATCACATTTCAGCTTAAAAGCACCTTTCCACTCCAGAGTTACTTATCATTCATGTGATAATGCAAAAAACAACAGCTGTCAATGAGTCCAAAGCACTTTGAGAGAGAACACTTTTTTGTTGCTACTGCTGTTGGCACCAACAATACGAGCTTCAGAGAATGAGGTCACTAATAAGGTGTTGCTGATTCACTTTGATGATTGACTCAAGCATCCACACACTACATAATACATAACGGCGACTTTACAGTATACATTATCAACACAAACATGTTAACAAACGTAACTGTCACCACTTTTTAGGGAGGGTGGGTAAGGTTCATGTAAATATGAAAATGTTTTATAATTCAGTCATGTCTTTTAATGTTTTTAACTTCTTTCTGACACAGAAAAACAGGTTTTAGGTTTGTTGCATACACGTCTATGGAAGCTTACAGTATTTCAGCCACAGAATAAAATTAAATTTAGTAATAGTGACTTTTATTTTGTAATATTGAGTTGATGACTGTGATACCAACAATTATGTAAATGAAATTAGTTCTGACAAGAAAGGTCTGTTTCATGGGGAGAACATGCAGACTTCACACAGAAATGCCAACTGGTCCAGTCGAGACTCGGACCAGCAACCTTCTTGCTGTGAGGTGACTGAAAACTGAAAGCTGAAAACTGAAAGGTAAACATGAAGAAACATCAGAATTATGAATAGAAGTAGATAAAAACTCATATTTGCAATAAAAATGGTCTAAAATATGAGAAAGCAGTAGTTTTTTTTGCCACTCTTTGACTGAAACAAGCTTGTCAAAGGGCCATTTCAACCAAAAACAAAGACCTTTTGTTAATTTAACAGCTATTTAAGATGAAGGTGACTTTTGTCTAAGGTTTGTGATGATTTCTAAGAAACCATGCATGAATCCATCGATTTTTGTAGATGACACAGAATTTAACTGTATTTTACTGTAGGACAGTTTTGCGGTATGTGACTGTGTTTAAAGTTGCATTTTGAAAATTGTAGTGTATTTTACAGTAAAGATAAACATGCAATACTGTAAATACAGATACAGCAAGAAAAATGTTGCTGTAAATGTAAAAACAGTATTTTACAGTAATTGATTTACAGTAAGTTACTGGCGAACTGCTGCACAGTGTGGTCCTTGCTGAGTCAATGGCTACAGCATGCATACAATGTAATGATAAAACATGTATGTAATCCTATATTCTTTCATTCATTCAGTTGATTTAAATATTTGTTATACAATTGAAGGCAAAATTAATATTCCTCTTGTACTCTCAGAAAATAAATGAAACTATATTGTACTAAAGAACGTACAAACACTTGTCACTGTGGCAGTACCTTTTTATGGAACAGAATTGTACCTTAAGACAAAGAAACAAATTTGTACTATTGCAGTTAAAGACATAATTTATACCATGGGAAACCAAAGAGTACCTTTGGTTTTTAAAACCTGCAGATGCAATATTGTACCTTCATTAAAGGTACAAATCTAATCCATGAAGGTGCAGCACAGTGACAAGACACTTTGTACCTTAACAGTGTCAAAAATGCTTATCAAATGTTTATTAAAAATACCTTAAATCTTTAGTTTACAATACCTATAGTATTTAGGTTGGTTTTACCAGTTTTTTTGTATTATATAACTTAATTATTAATGTTTATGTTTATTTAAACATATGCTTTTACATAATGATTTATGTTTTAATGTGGAAATTATTAATAAAACCACTTTGCTTTTCCAGTCATATTTATTTTCATAGGCATTATGTAACTTTTATATGAGAACAATTGTGTATCTTCATTTCAATTGTACCATAAAAAGCACAGAACAGTATCCTTAGAGGTCTTTTCTGTACCATATAAGGTAGAACTTATACAAATGTACAAAACGGCTCCTTGATTAAATTTTATTTCTTTTTTCAAATATTTCCCGAATGCTGTTTAATGGAGAGAAGTTTTTTTCACACATTTACATTTTAAACTTGAATAAGTAATTTCTAATAACTAACTTCTTTTGTCTTTGGCATGATGACAGTGCATAATTCATTTATTCGTTTGTTTTCTTTTCGGCTTAGTCCCTTTATTAGTCTGGAGTTGCCACAGCGCAATGAACCACTAACTTATCCAGCATTTCCAGCCGCATCCCATCACTGAGAAACAGTGTACAATATTATACGAAATACTAGTATTCAGCTTAAAGTGCAACTTAAAGACTTACAGTAACTAGGTTAATTAGACTACTGATTGGCAAACAGTGGTTTGTTCTTCAGAGGGCTAATATTATTAAACCAAAAAGTATTTTTTAAATAATAAAAAAATCATTTCATTCCAGTCAAACTAAAGAAATAGGATTTTCTCCAGAAGAAAAAAATATTACAGGAAATACTGTGAAAATATCCTTGCTTTAATAAGTGAAAGATTTCACTAAAAGTTGCCTTCAATTGTATATATGTTGCTTTCTTAGTTTTTATTTGACTCTTTTATTTGATTTCTGAATGTTTCATTAATTTTCCTTAGTCTTAGTCCCTTATTTTTCTGTGGTCGCCACAGTGGAATGAACCACCAACTATTCCAGTATAGGTTTTTAACGGTGGATGCCCATCCAGCCGCACTCTCACATTCACACATATACATTATGGCCAATTTAGTTTATTCAATTCACCTATAGCACATGTCTTTGGACTGTGGGGAAAACTGGAGCACCCGAAGGAAATCCACGCCAACATGGGGAGAACATGCAAACTCCACACAGAAATGCCAACTAGCAAACCACTGAGCTACATTTCAACAACAACAAAAAATCATTAATATTCTACTAATGAAAAAAGTCACCTGTATCTTAGTTGGCCAAAGGATGATCATATTTGAGTGAATTTTAAAATCTCATTTAAAACAAGCAAAAGTTCAGATTTAACAAAACAATGAGATTAATTATAAGAAAACCTCTGAATTAACTTTATACTGTGGCTAAAATAAGCTTCCATACAAGCCAGTGCTGACTTTTCACCTGCACTGCAAAAAAAATAAGCGTAAATTAGCAGCTTTCCGTATTTTGTGATACAGGTTTTTACTGTTTATTGTTTATTTATGCTTTTAAATTGCATTATAAGACCTTGATCTTTTTTTTAAAAAAAAGAAAAAAGTGACTCATATGAACATTTTTAATAGTTTAAAGTAATATATTGTATGGGTTGGTATTGTATATTACACTACAAAAACCTTGTAATAAACTGAAAGAACCTTTCCTGTTATTTGAATTCTGACTAATTGTCTCTCTATATTATTTATTAAACATTATATTATGTCAAACTACTAAAATGTCAATAAAAGTCACTTTGTTTAGGCTCCAGAGTAACATTAAAACATTAACATTAAAAGTCGACAGAGCAGAAATCAACATCCCATAATGCAATTCACAACCATAAATAAATAATTAAACACCTGAGAATCACAAAATACGGAAGCTCTTAACTAACAGATACTTCATTAGACACATCTCTTCTGCGCTACCAGTGCAGGATATCTCTAATGTGACCCCACAGTCTTGTAATCCACAGATTGACACCCATATCGCTGAGATACTGCAGTTCTGGGGTCAGCATCTTCCTGCAGAGCCTTCGGTGGGCTTTATCGATATTCTTCTTCAGATTGTAACCCATAATGGACCTCTCCCCAATAGGCTGCCACGGCTGCATGGACGTCTCCAAGATGCTTCCTGCATCAACAGCCTGGCCTCCTTCAATACAAACAGCAGCCATTTCTGCATTTCTGCGCCGAAGCTCTGCAACATCTCTAATCATTCGCTGCCGGCCGTAAGCGTCCACCTTTCTCCAGAAGGTGTCATTAAAATACTGGTAAAGCTTCCAGTCGATGGCGTTCCACTGGAGGGCCTTGGATCTAAGCTCTGGGGTGAGCTTAGAAATAGTCGAATCCTTCCTAGCATTGAGTTTAAAAAAAAGCAAATCCTCCATGTCCCAGCAGAGGGCGTCCTTCAGCAAAATGAGCGACTCTTCAAAATACTCCACAAGCATCACCAGCTGGAAGCGTTTGGAGATCTCCTGGATGGCCTGGTCTACTCTTGGGTCGTCAGGATTTAGGTTGTTATCCTGGCCGAAGTCAAAGAAAAGCAGGTTTTTGAGATAGAAGGAATTGAATCCTTCAGGGTCATAATAAAGGTTTGGATCGGATAGGAATTCTCTGAGTTTGTCCTCCCCGGAAATCTTCCACGTTAGGGGTACGACACGTCCAAAATAGTGGAAGGAGGACTCGGCCAGATCAGCGGGATCCCGGAGGATTGTGATGTAGGAGGCATCGGCTGGAAGCACCCTGGCCACCTCGGCAGCATTGAAGCGCATGTGGTTACAGATGATGTTGAAGCACATTCCAGGCCGGTAGTCTTTGACCTGTGAGCGGTGGAACGAAGAGGGGTAGAAGAAGTCATTGCGGCTGTTGGGGAAGGCGAACTTGAGGTGGTGCTTCTCACCGAAGCGAAAGAGGATGTTGAGGAAAGTGCTGCTGGCTGTTTTGTGGGTTTTCATGAACACAATGTCCACTTTCGGAGTGCAGATTGGCTGCCCTGAGGGATGATGGGAGCTGTTTGGGATGGAGTGGGCAGCAGAAGGGCGATGGGCACATGAGTAAGGCACTGGCACTCTGTGGATAAAAATCAATCAAATGTTTAGTTTCAAATACATTTTATGGTTTCATTAATTTTACTTCAGCTCAGTCCCCTATTTATCAGGGGTCGCCACAGCGGAATGAACCACCAACTATTATAGCACATTCAAAAAAGGATCTGAGAAATAACTTATTTGTGTGTTGTTTCAATAAAGCAACCATTCATTTGTGTTGTGTTTTATTTTAATTTTTTAATATTCATTTATTCTTAATTGTATTAATCATATGTTCAGTAGTCATTTATATAATTATCATTATATCATTTTCTTGATCATCAGATAATGATTTGATTATTATTATTGATTATTATTCGCCATTTGATTATGTTTTTTATATTTTAATATTAATATTTTCCTATAATTAGTGCTTTATTATTAGTAAAATTTTTCCATTTCATTATCATCTTTTAAATCTGTGGATAAGCGATAAGCGAAATGTCTCCATTTCAAAGCCTGTATTCTCTCTGGGCAATGTTGTGAAGGAGTAATTTTTCATTGCTGTTGCTTGTGGTATAATAACACTTGTTAGATGTATCCCTCTGGCTTTCTCAGTCAACTCCTATATTGATAGGAAACTGTTAATTCAGTTGAATACTGGTTAACAGGTTTGGGTATTGGAAACTCTGCTGATTTCTTGTCCATACACCTGGAGAAACTGATATTTCCTGACAAGACCTGGTGTCCGGGGCTAGATATTATTTATCTGGCGTGGAGATGGTGATCTAACAGTCTGCTTTATGCTCTTGCAGCCACAACCCAGCACTGGGAAACATCAATATACTCTCACATTAACACACAAACACCACGGCCAGTTTAGTTTATTCAGTTCACCTATAGTGCATATCTTTGGACTGTGGGGCAAATCGGAGGAAACCCATGGCAACACGGGGAGAACATGCAAACTCCACACAGAAATGCCAACTGACCCATTCTGGACTTGAACCAGCGATCTTGAACAGCATTTATTCATCATAGTAGTCTACTATTAATGCAACCTTACTGTAAAGAGTTACCCATTTCATCATTAGAATATGTTGTTCTCATATTCATGTTTTACTCCAGAATTGTAAGAGAAATTAAAGGAATAGTTCACCAAAAATGAAAATGACCTCATCATACTTTCCCTCATGTGGTTTTAAACCTTCTGTTGAACCATAATGAAGATATTTTGAAGAATGATGGTTGCTGGCACTCACTGACTTCCATACTACTAAAACAATGGATGTCAATGGTTGCTAACAACTATCATTCTTTAAAATATCTTCTTCATTGTTCAATAGAATAAAGAAACTCATAAAGGTTTTGAAGAGCGAGTAAATAACGTTGTTCTGTTTAAGAGGGAAAGGAAACCATATTACAAAATATTAAATGAAGAAAACAGAAAACTAATCTAAAATGCTTGTCTTTGTGATGTCACTGTCTTGATACTACTCTGTAATTAGTAGAATATATATTTTTTAAATCACTTCTTTTGTGCAAGGATACATTAAAACTCATAGTAAAGACAATTACATTAAAATGTTCATTCATTCATTCATTCATTCATTCATTCATTTTCTTTTCAACTTAGTCCCTTTATTAATCCGGGGTCACCACAGCAGAATGAACCGCCAAATTATCCAGCACGTTTTACGTAGTGGCTGCCCTTTCCGCTGCAACCCATCTTTGGGAAACATCCATACACACTCATTTACACTCATACACTACGGACAAATTAGCCTACCCAATTCACCTGTACCCAATGTCTTCGGACAGAGGAGGACACCAAAGCACCTGGAGGAAACTCCACACAGAAACGCCAACTCACCCAGCCGAGGCTCGAACCAGCGAACTTCTTGCTGTGAGGTGACAGCACTATACTGCTCCACTGCGTCACCCATTAAAATGTTATATATATTTCAAATACTTGATTTCAAATTTTCTATTATTATCATTTAAAAAAACTGTGATTTTATTACAAATAATTTACAGAGCAACTGTTTTTTTGATATTGTAATGATAATAAAATATTTTTTAAAGCCAATCTGCATATTAGGCTAGATTTTATTTGTCATGTGACACTAAAGACTGGAGTGAAGAAGCTGAAATTAAAGTTTGGCATCACAGGAATGAATGAATGAATGAACGAATGACATAATAAACATAGTAATGCATTTTAACATATTATTATATTTTCATCTATTTTATAAAATTACAGTTTATCTGTTTAAATAATTTAATAATAATATAAATATATAAATATTTAAGTTAAGCAAAACTGCCAGAAAATGTTACATTTTTATCCATTATAACTAATATCAAATGAAAATTAATGTCATAAGAGAATTAGCCAAGAATTTAGGGATAAACAATTTTTGCTGTCATGACACTATTATTCAAAACAGACTTTTTTTTGTGTGAATATTTATTTATAATTCACAAAAATAAATAGAGCTCTGATCCTACTTGAACCTAAAGGGATGGTTAATCCAAAACTAGACATTCTGTCATCCCTTACTCATCCTTCATGTTGGAAACCGGTAACCATTGACTTACATATCTGTTTTTGTTTAATCTACTGGATGTCAATGGTTGCGGTTTCTAACGTTCTTCAAAATTTCTTCTTTTTGTGTTCAACAGAATAAAAAATCTCATAAAGAGAATATAGTCAATGAATTCACAATTTTGAGTGAACTATCCCTTTAAAAACATCATATTATTTCCCTTCTTGCTTGGCATTCCTTATTCTAAACACATGAAAAGACTCACTCTTGCAAGCCAAACTGGACCTCGGGGGCCGACAGGCAGTACAGAAGGATCATGCAGGTGGTCAGGAGTGCACCCAGGATCAGTCCCTTACAGATGGACCTCCACTGCCGGACTGGCTTTCCAACCATCATTGCTACCTGGTTGGACTCTGGAAAAAATCCCTGAAACACAGACAAAGACTCTTCAGTAATAATTTAAAGCTACTTTAATTAATTATCTGTTAACCTGAGGTCCACAGCTGTGTCTCTAAAGGCTTCTTTACGTAAATAAAATGTAAATGCGCTGTGCTATGTGGTGTGTTTACGCATGCAGAGTCCTCTAGTGCTACTATAGCATCTGATTGTCGAAGCATTTCTAGTGTCATCATTTCCTCAAGTGCCCAATTATTTAGGTACACCGCTGATCGCTCAATTGCTCGTCTCCCATGAGTTAAAATCATGCAATCTGCCACTGCTTAACTTGTGCTTAGGACAGGACTTTACGGGAAATTCAGCAACACAAGATTCAAGAATATTTTAATCTTAGATGATGTGACAGGTGCTGGAAATAGGAACTTATTTATTTTATTAATACTGTTGTCTTTTTTACTTTTCATTAGACACTTGTATTTTTGTATTGCTGAGCGATATATTAACCAAACTTCTCTGAGTTTGATACGCTTTGCATACTAATGAAGCATTTTTGCAGAAGTAGAGGTTTTCTGCCACTGGCTGAAAAGATAGAGTGTTATCAAAATCTGAAAATAACTATAGCTTTTCATTTGACTTTCCTTTTGAAGCAAAGATGTGCTGAAACTGAACACTGAATATTTGCAGTTGAGAAGTCTTATGCTTTTAATGTTGTGCAGAGAAGTTGGAAAAAAGAGGAAGTATGTTTGGGTGCGGGCACCAGAGAACTGAAGAATGATTGACAAGTGACGAATTACACAAACATGAAATGCCACAGTCATTCACAAAATGCCACAGTCACATCATCCTGCAGCCCAAGACCGGTAACTCGCTGAAGCTAAGCAGGGCTGAGCTCAGTGCCTGGATGAGAGACATGGGCTGCTGTTTAAAGTAGTGTTAGTGAGGCCAGCAAGGGGTGCTCAACCTGCGGTCTGCGTGAGTCCTAATACCACAGTATGTGAAGGTGACACTATACTGTCCGTGAGCTCCATCTTTCATCCTGACTCTCTGTGCTCATTGAAAATCCCATGGCATTTCTCGTAAAGTATGGATGTAACCCAGGTGTCCTGGCCGAATTCCCTCCATTGGCCCTTACCCATCATGGCCTCTCAATCATCCCCATCCACTGAATTGGCTCTGTCACTGTCTCTTTACTCCAATAGCTGGTGTGTGGTGAGTGCACTGGCGCCGTTGTCCTGTGGCTGCCATCGCATCATCCAAGTGAAAGCGTTTTGGGTGTATGGCCATACACGATAAATGCACTATATAAATACACATTACTCTCAAAACATTGGAGATGATAGTGGACTTTAGGAGAAACCCTCCTGCACTCCCCCCGTTCACCATCATGAACAGCACTGTGGCTGCAGTAAAGTCATTCAGGTTCCTGCCACAGGAGCTGCTCGTACAGTTCTACTCAGCTGTCATCCAATCCATCCTCTGCATTTCAATCACCATCTGGTTCGGCTCAGCTGCCAAGACCGACCTCAGTAGACTACAGCGAATAGTCCGGACTGCTGAACGAATCACTGGCACTACCCTTCCTACACTTCAATAACAGTACTCTTCCAGGGTGAGTAAAAGGGCTAGCAAAATCACTCTGGATGCCTCGCACCCAGCACACTACCTGTTCGAACTGTTACCGTCTGGTCGGCGCTACAGAGCACCAAGCACAAAAACAGCCAGACGCAGGAAAAATTTCTTTCCCCAGGCCATCTACCTCATGAACAGTTAAATATTCCCCTACTGTGCAAAAAAAATGTGCAATACTGTCTTATACGTACTTGTACAAAGCACCTTATAACAATTTACAATGCAATACTTTCTCATATGCATTTGTACACAGCACCTAACCTGTATATTATATATATTTATTAACTGATTCTGATTACTTACGAAACTCTACCTTTTTATATCAGCTGTGTACAAAAGCTGGAGTCAGGGAAATGTAAATTTGTTGTGCACCTCCTGAATGTAATTCTTGCATTGCATTGGGGATAACCAGAATTCTGTTCATCGAATAATGCATTTGTATCTAGTTTTGGGCTATTCTTAGATGTCTAGTAAATTTTCACAGATAGCTCAAATTTAGGCTTGTTTTAGCCAAGAGGACTATGCTTGGACATCTATTAGACATCTTTTAAAAAATAAAAATAAAAAATGCTTGCTATTATAATTAAACAAACTATTGTAAAATAAAATAAAATAAAATAAAATAAAATAAAATAAAATAAAATAAAATAAAATAAAATAAAATAAAATAAAATTAAATTAAATAAAATTAAATAAAATTAAATAAAGTTAATATTCTGATCTGCAGATAATTGCTGCAGGTCATGAGGGACAACTTTTTCATCGAATGAATTATGCACACAGACGAAAAGTGACACTGTTCCCACAGACCAGGATCAGGTATCTGCTGTCCCGGGTCGTAGTTACAAAAGTTCTTACTTTTCTATGAAAGAAAGTTAGGAGCACAGACTGTGCCAGCCATACGATATGCTGCTGATCTCTGACAGATAGATGGAGGGGGTGGTCTTCCAGACAAAGATAGTTGTAGAAAGGTAATGAGGATATTTATAGTCACTTGGGATCCTTTGATTGGAGGAACGTATTTAGCTAATGTAGGCCAGCTAGGTCAATCATGAGCACGTGCTTCTCTCAAAATTAGTTTATTATTAAACTTCACTTAAACTTAATTGTGGCATTTTAGTGACCATCGCTTTAAATTTAAATGAGATTGTGCTCTTTTCAAAAAAGGGAGGGGCTCCAGATCGCTGTGTGTCAGCATAGTAGCAGATTCAAAACAGTACTGACATTATCTGTGTAAAAAAACTGAAAATGTGAAAAGAAGTGCCTCAGAAGAAAGGTGTCTGTGACTACAGTGGTCATTTGTGCATGTAAAACTCCACATTTGCAGACTTGGCAAGACAATGGTTATGTCTAGATCTCAGAACACCTCAACCTCAGCAGAAACCCTGCAGGTAGGAACACACTGAGCACCTCAACCTCAGCAGAAACCCTGCAGGTAGGAACACACTCCTTTGAGCGTGTTTCCAACCAACTTCTAATATATAGGATCTCAGCAACGAAACTAGGGAAGAAATAAAGGAAAGGTTGAAGGCGGGAAACAAAGCATCCCAGCAGGCACACAACACCATAAGACGTTAATATTAGGTTGGAGGTTCATTCCACTGTGGCGACCACAGATAAATAAGGGACTAAGCCTAAGAAAAATGAATGAATTTTTACTACAAAACAAATGCACCAAACATTCCAGCAAACAAAGATGTCTAACAGACGTCTAATAGACATCTAAACATAGACAGCTTGGCTAAAACAAGGCTAAACTTGGTCTGTCAGTGAAAATCTAATAGACATTTAAAAATAGCCCAAAACTAGACTAGTCATCAAATAGACAGATTAGACAGACATTGTATGACGTCCATTAGACATCTATTAGACATCTTTTAATAACAAAAAATGTTTGCTGGGATCCGTCTATTTGACGACAAGTCTAGTTTTGGGCTATGTCTATTAGATTTTCACTGAGAGCCTGAACTTAGCCTTGTTTTAACCAAGATGGTTATGTTTAGATGTCTATTAGACATATATTAGACTTTATTTTTTTAAACAAAAAAATGCTTGATGGGATCTGTTTTTTTGACGACTAGTCTAGTTTTGTGTTATTTTTTGACGTCTATCATATTTTTACTGACAGCCCAATTTTAGCATCGTTTTAGCAAAGACGACTTTGTTTAGACATCTATTGGACATCTTTTACAAACAAAAAATGCTTGTTGGGATCTGCCTTTTTGATGACTAGTCTAGTTTTGGGCTATTCTTAGACATCTATTCGATTTCCACAGACAGCTCAAATTTGTTTTAGCCAAGACAACTATGTTTAGACGTCTATTAGACATCTATGAGACATCTTTTAATAACAAAAACATGTTTGCTGGGATCTGTCTATTTAACGACTAGTCTAGTTTTGGGCTATTCTTCAGATGTCTATTCGATTTTTACTGACAGCCCAAGTTTAGCCTTGTTTTAGCCAAGACGACTATGTTTAGACATCTATTAGACATTTTTTGAAAACAAAAAATATGCGTGCTGGGATCTGCCTTTTTGACAACTAGTCTAGTTTTGGGCCATTTTTAAATGTCTATTAGATTTTTACCGACAGACCAAATTAAGCCTTGTTTTAGCCAAGACAACTATGTTTTGATGTCTATTAGACATCTTTTAAAAACAAAAAATGCTTGCTGGGATCTGTCTATTTAACAACAAGTCTAGTTTTGGGCTAATCTTAAATGTCGATTAGATTTTCACTGACAGCCTGAACTTAGCCTTGTTTTAACCAAGATGGCTATGTTTAGATGTCTATTAGACATATATTAGACTTTTTTTTTAAAACAAAAAATGCTTGCTGGGGTTTGTCTTTTTGATGACTAGTCTAGTTTTGGGCTATTTTTAGAAATCCATTAGATTTTCACTGACAGCCCAAATTTAACCTTGTTTTAGCCAAGACGACTACGTTTAGACGTCTATTAGACATCTTTTGTAAACAAAAAAAAATGCGTGCTGGGATCTGTCTTTTTGACGATTAGTCTAGTTTTGGGCAATTTTAAATGTCTATTAGATTTTCACTAACAGACCAAATTTAGCCTTGTTTTAGTCAAGACGACTCTGTTTAGACATTTATTAGACATCTTTTAATAACAAAAAATGCTTGCTGGGATCTGTCTATTTGACGACTAGTCTAATTTTGGGCTAGATGTCTATTTGATTTTCAAAAAACAAAAAATGCTTGCTGGGATGTATCAAAAATTGCATAAACACCCAATTAAACAAACGAACATAAAATAAAATAAAAGAAATAAAGTTAATATTCTGATCTGGAGATAATTGCTGCAGGTCATGAGGGACAACTTTTCCATCGAATGAATTATGCACACAGACGAAAAGTGACACTGTTCCCACAGACCAGGATCAGGTATCTGCTGTCCTGGGTCGTAGTTACAAAAGTTCTTACTTTTCCATGAAAGAAAGTTAGAAGCACAGACTGTGCCAGCCATACGATATGCTGCTGATCTCTGATAGATAGATGGAAAGAGTGCAGGAACAAAGCTGCTAGTAGAAATCCAAAAAGGGCAGAAGAAGTCTGAAGGAAGCCATTGTTCTTATTTGCAGCAATTTCCAAGCCTGCATTTTTCAAAGTCATCCTTTGTTGACAGCAAAAACACTAACAACATCATCATTGTTATGTTGATGGTCATGCATAAAAAGGATTTTACTCGGCCACAAAGAAATGCTACAGAAGCTGCAGCTCCAATTTAAGATTCAATATGATAATGGATCTTTCGATTCATCAAACACCATGTTCATTTATTTATTGGACATTTAAAATACAGTTGAAGTCAGATTTATTAGTCCCCCTGAATATTTTTTACCCATTTTTTCTATCTTTGCCATGATGACAGTACATGATATTTGACTAGCTATTTTTCAAGATATTATTATTCAACTTAAAGTGATATTTAAAAACTTAACTAGGTACATTAGGCAAGTTCTGGTATTTAGGCTAGTCGTTGTATAATGATGGTTTGCTTTGTGGACAATCGAAAACAAATATTGCTTAAGGGAGCTAAAAATATTGACCTTAAATTGGTTTTTAATTGAGAAACTGCTTTTATTCTAGCCGAAATAAAGAAAATAAGAACTTAATCCAGAAGAAAAAATATTATAGGAATTACTGTGAAAAATTCCTTGCTCTGTTAATCATCATTTGGGAAATATTAAAAAAAATAAGAGCTAATCATTTTGAGTTCAGCTGTATAGCAGTGTATTGTATAAAAGTCTTGTGGGCGTTGAATGGGTATGACAAAGAATGTCATATGATATCTCTGATGTGCTGTGGGCATATTCGTAACAAATAGGAAGCCACCGTAATGAAGTTTGATGAGATACGAGCAGAATAAAGGCTCCTTTTATATCAACACAAGAAAGTGGTCAGAATGAGAAGGCTGATTAGAAAGGAGAATTTAGGAATAAAACAAGATAGTGTTTCCATAGGTTGGACATTATGAAGCTTTACATAAGAGTGTTATTCGGGGAAACAAAATTCCAAGCAAATAATTTCTTTAATATTCGTATTTTTTAAATATTCATGATAATAAAATGGGATGGCACGGTGGCTCAGTGGTTAGCGCTGTGGCCTCACAGCAAAAATGTCACTGGGTCGAGTCCCGGATGTGCCAGTTGGCATTTCTGTTTGGAGTTTTATTAGGTTAACAAAAAATGGCTGTAGTGTATGTGGATGTTTCCCAGTACTGGATTGTGGCTAGAAGGGTATCCGCAGCATAAAACAAATCATCACCTTGGAATTATAAGGTTCTATTTGCGTTCTGAATGATTTTGAGATATTGAGCTTGAAAGTTTTTGGTATGTGTGTAACATTTGTTTTTTAAATAAAAAGTCTTAAAATGTAAACAACTTATAAAAAAAAACATCCTATAATGTAAATAAGTTGTCAATTAATAAAAATATGTCAATAACTAAATTTTGACAAAAATGTCAGATAGAACCTTATAATTCTAAGATGACGATATGCTGGAATAGTTAGTGATTCATTCCGCGGTGGCGACCTCTGATAAATAAAGGACTAAGCCAGAGGATGAATAAATGAATAATAATAATTTATAAAAATGTACTTTTTAATTGGTCTATTCTTCTTCATCTAATTAAAATAAAATGAAGACGATGTTAAAATTTTTTAAACTTTTTTTAAACTTTTTTGCAAAGTTATTTAAATATTAATGAAACGTAAAAAGAATTGTGCGTAAAAATGTACATAAAAATCATATTTGTACAAAATACTAAGTTTTTACAAAAAAAATTGCAGAATTTGATAAGTATTTTTAGTAAAACTCCAAACATTCATTCATTAATGTTCTTGTTGGCTTAGTCCCTTTATTAATCCGGGGTCGCCACAGCGGAATTAACCGCCAACTTATCCAGCAAGTTTTTTGAAAACATCCACACACACATTCACATACACACACTACGGACAATTTAGCCTACAATTCATCTGTATCGCATGTAACCATTCATTCATTCATTCATTTTCCTTCAGCTCTATTTAAAAGGTTGCCAGAGCGGAATGAACCACCAACTTATCCATCATATGTTTTACACAGCGGATGCCCTTCCAGCTGCAACCCAGTTCAGAAAAACATCCATACACACTCATTGACACACATACACTATGGCCAATTTAGTTTATTTAATTCACCTATAGTGCATGACTTTGAACTTGTTAGGTTCCGGAGCACCCGGGGGAAACCCACGCCAACACGGGGAGAACATGCAAACTCCACACAGATATCCGAACTGGTCCAGCCTGGAGTCGAACCAGCGACCTTCTTGCTGTGAGGCAACAACGCTAACCAATGAGCCACCGTGTCGCCGCTCATTGAGTAACAATGCTGTAAATGTACACTTTAACATAGTATATTGAACAAGACTATACTTACTACACGATTTTTTTGATGTGAATAATTTGAGCAGTGAGTGATGGTACTGCATACTTGTTTAAAAATGCTGATCGTTTTGAACTGTAAATCTACAGGGCTCAGCATAATTGAGTACAGCTCATTTTAAAAATGAATATTTTTCTCCATTTCTCAGTGAATATAGGAAATGTATTTTGATGCATTTAAACAAAACAGATTTATTAAACAGATATATTTATTAAAATAACATTTTAGTCAAAAAACAGATTTAGAAATTTAAAGATAATACAATAAAATTCTTTTGCTTTTCTTGATTTTTCCTCTTTTTTAAACTTGTGTTTAATATTTTTCTCTAACATATAAATTTGACTGGTTTTTGGGTGTTATTATAAGTTATTTAGATAAGCTCCAGATTTGGCTTCAGTACTGACTGATCTAATGTATATGCACAAATATAATATTGTATAGCTTCCTATTAAAAATATTAATTTAAAAGAGAGATTTGTGAGGGGTGTACTTGTATATGCTGAGCACTGTATAATATAATTGACATCTGGGATTAAATATAAAGCACTGGTTTGTTACATTGCATCTACATGCCAGCTAATTCTCATTAGATTATAAGTGGACTGTTAGGGTTGGGGTTAGTGTTAGTGTAAGCTGACATGTACGTGCAAAGTTTCTTATAGTCAGTTAAATGTCTTTTAAAGGAGCAGCATCAACAGGTATTAGACAGTTTACTAATACTCAACTGGACCATCAATTAAAGTGTTATCTAATATTAAAGCAAAAACTAAAATACTGCCTATTTGCCCTTAAGAGTTGTATTCATGACTTATTCAAACAATACAAATATATATTCCCCAAGTATAATTTACAATGAAAACTATAAAGCTTGAGTATAATATTGATGCAACAACATTGTATTACAGAAAATGCTATTAAGTTATTTACAGTGTTCAAACCATGCAGTGGTATTACAAAAATACGTTTTTTAAACACATTTAGGAAACATATTAAGTTTTAAAACTAATTTCCTCTGTCTTTACCATGATGACATATATAATACCTATTTATTTTGCAAGATACTACTATTCAGTTTAATTTAAAGGTAGCTATAGGTTAATTATTGATTAACTAGACAAGACAACAGTGCTTTGTTCTGCCAATGAAAAAAATATATCTTTAGGTGGGCTATTAATATTGACTTTAATAAAAAAACTTTATAAAAATTCACATTCCAATAAATGTTCCTAATTCTGCACCTGAAAGGGCATCCGCTGTGTTAAACAGATAAGTAGGCGATTCATTCCACGGTGGTGGCCGTGATAAATAAAATGACTAAAGAAAATGAATGAATGAATATTTAAAACAATGTTTCTCAATGTTCCTGTTTGTAAATGTCACAGGAGGGCTAATAATAATTATGCCATCAAGTAGGTATATTCCCCCAATATAATGTACATGGAAGATTAAATACACTGTCAAAAATATATGACAAAAAATCATAACTACAAATATTTTAAGTTACTTTAACTTGCTTAATAAGTTAATCAGGTTTTAATTACATTTTTAAGTTATGCTTAACTTAATATATTTAATCAGTTTGATTAATATGAGTTGACATGACTAGTAAAAGTTAATTAGATTTAACTAACCTAGATTTAACCTTTACCCTGTATAATATCATGAATACAACACAGATGCAACAACAAATTAAATTAATGAACTATTTTTGTACAGTTAAACGTACTAAAGGCTTAATCAAACAATGCAATAACACAACGCTGTATATAAGCTACACTTTGTTCAAACTACTTATTTAAAATGAGCAGAAACAACACATTTCTTAAGTTTTTTTTTGCACCAACTTAATTGTCCCATGTCAAATTCACTTAAATTTGTAAAAATAAATAAGTTAAATTAATTCTTTCACTGTAAAAATTAATTATATGATCAATCAGTCATGACAGCATATGTTTTATGTCATTGTAACTTGTTAAACTAAGTTAATCATGATCTAACTTAAAGTTACACAAGCTGTTTAACGTCAGTTTACGTAATGTAAGTTCAATGGACTTATAAGTTTAATTTGATTCAGCTTAAAAATGTAAGGCAACCAGGATTCTTTTACAGTGTTCATGTTTTCCCAACACAAATCGATCGCGTGGAACCCAGCATTTTACATGCATGTGTAGTGTCAATTTGATCGCTAGATTAAATATAACGTTTCAGCATGATAACTCACCAAATCATGTAGATGTCCCGGTCACAGCTTGACTGGCAGAACAAAAGCAATGCCTCTGATGAGAAGAATCAGATTTGGTTAACAAAGATGCATTGAAAGACATCGATTCCTCCGCAGTTAACTGTCCCGTCATGCTATCCAAGGTTAACAGACCTGTATGCCTGTTATCTGGTGTGAAACCTCTGAGCGACTGCACACACACACACACATACACCTGATGATTTTGAAGCCCCCGCCTCTCCCCTGTCTGTGTGTGTGCGTGTGTGTGTTGTAGAGCTGAGCTGGCTAAACCACATTCAGTGGAGATGACTGTGTGACGCAAGACGAGCCGTCTGGAGACCTGCACTGCATGAGTGAATGAGCAGGGCTGAAAGAAGAAAGTGGGAGAGGGAGGGAGAGAGGGAGAGAGGGAGAGGGGGAGAGAGAGAGAGAGAGAGAGAGATCACTTTTTTGATACAGTTTTATCTTAAAATGTTGATTGTTAAACTAGTGTATGTACTAGCATACACTCAATTCTAATTATTTGTTATTGAAAAATTATTTTATTCATTCATTCATTTTCTTGTTGGCTTAGTTCCTTTATTAATCTGGGGTCGCCACAGCACAATGAACCGCCAACTTATCCAGCAAGTTTTTACGCAGCGGATGCCCTTCCAGCCACAACCCATCTCTGGGAAATGAATACTTATTTATTTAGGCCTATTTATTCATTTAGCATTTAGTGCTATTTACTGTGTACTTGTTTTATTTAAAAATGCATATGCATGTTATTTTTAATGTAAACTTTAATAATGCTTTTGCAATAGGTTATATTTGTAACATTTCATTTGATATTAAAAATACCCCCAATAACAAAAGTACATTTTTACTTAAGCCATTTAGTTCTCCATCTTAGAGTATAAACCTGCAAAAACAACAAATAAATTATTCATTCATTTTTCGGCTTAGTACCTATATCAATCTGGGGTCACCACAGCGGAACACACCGCCAGCTTATCCAGCAAATGTTCTACACAGCGGACGCCCTTCCAGTTGCAGCCCATCTCTGAGAAAATAAATTGACTACTAAATACACAAATAAATTAATTAATAAATCCACAAATTTCTGCATAAATAAAACAATAATACATAAGTAAATACTTCTCTGCATAATTAATAAATAAATAAATATACACAAGAATAAATAAGTAAATCTATAGTACTATATCTATAGTTCTATACAACTTAAAGTCACATTTAAAGGCTTAACTAGGTTAATCTAGTTAATTAGGCAGGTTAGGGTAATTAAGCAAGGTATTGTACAATGGTTTGTTCTGTAGACAATAAAAAATAATAATTTGCTTAAAGGGGCTAATAATTTTAACCTTAAACGGGTTTAAAAAAACGTGAAACTGCTTTTATTCCAGCCAAAATAAAACAAATGAGACTTTCTCTAGAAACTACTGTGAACATTTCCTTGATCTGTTAAACATAATTTGGGGGGGGAAAAAATAATAAATTAAAATAATTTAATAAATAAATAAATAAATAAATAAATAAATAAATAAATAAATAAATAAATAAATAAATAAATAAATAAATTCAAAGGGCGGGGGGAGCAATTAATTTATATATTTAAATATGTAAATAATTAATAGTGCGGGCAGATAAATAAATAAATTACATGAATGTTGGGGGAATGAGAAAATGCTAAACTGAACATTGATTTCTTTCCTCCTTTCAAATGTCCTTTATAGGAGCACAACCTTTCTTTAAAAATCTACATTTTGTTTAATTTGCTGGTATTCTTATAGAAAAACGTAATCAAAATAGATTTTCACTTCAATTAAACTGTTGAAAACTTGCACCACATCTTGACAAACTTCACACTCTATAATTTCTTTTCTTGTTATGTAAATTGCCATTTTGGATTTTCCAACAACACAATTAAGGATTCACTATTTATTATTATTTTTATTATTAATATTTTTCTATTTTGAGACGGCAACACTTTACAATAATTTTTTTTCTATTATTATTATGAAATTTTTAACAGTAAAAAAAAATAAAATACATGCCAGCAGGGGGTAAGTATACATCAAATACAAATATACAGAATGTACGTATGTAATAATCAAATTAATACATTGTAGAATTCACAAAGTTTTAAAGTGCGTAGGGCTTTCTTATTTAGAGAGTCTCTGATACTACTAATATAAGCATACGTCACTTTACAATAAGGTTGTATGAGTTCACGCATTTACTAAACAATACAATCATTACATTATTTGTGCATGTTAGTCAAGGTTAGTTAACGAAAATAAAGTTGCGCATTGTTAGCATGTTAACTCACAATGCTAATGTACTAATGTTAACAAGCCTGAATTTAGATTTTTATAATGCATTAGTAAATGTTGAGCTATAAATGCTGTACAAGTACTGTTCATACTTAGTTCATACATTAAGGTCAACTAATAAAGCCGTTGACACTAACTACACACTGAATCATTTATAAAGCATTTGCAAATAGTTATTCATTATCTGTTAAGCATTAACTCTACATTAATAGACGTTAGTAAGCAGTTTATAGATATCATTGCTGGATTCTTGATCAATTTATAATGTGCTTAGTAATTGTATTGTCATACTTTATTACTTATTAATTGTCCATTACTAAATTCAGTATTGCATTATTTACAAACCATTTGTATTACATTTACACACACTCATACTACCGCCAATTTTGTTTAACCAATTCACCTATAGCGCATGTCTTTGGACTGTGGGGGAAACCGGAACATCCGGAAGAAACCCACACCAAAACGGAGGGAACATGCAAACCCAACTCAGAAATGCCACTTGGCCCAGCCGGGATGGGAACTAGCAACTGTGCTAACCACCATGCTTTCCGAAAGAGTAATATTTTCACCCTTATTTTTGATTAGAGCTGTAAACAAATTAAGGTTTACAAGCAAGCCTTGCAAATAGCCAATTTTGCTTGGCCAGCTATAAATTAAACCAAATAGTTTACAAGATGAGGAACAAAGATAGAGAACATGATGGCGAACAAAGTGGAAACAAAGTTAAGATTAAATTTGGAAACAAACCCTTTTTAGCCAACACACAATTAAATATTCTACACTGTAGATCGCCTCAATGTTATATAAGGGGACTTTTACATTTTAAAAAAGCCTCATATGCATCTAGCAACAGAGACTAGAATATATATCATAGATCTTAAACTCAATTCCTGAAGAGCCGCAGCTCTGCACAGCTTTGCTTCAACCCTAGTCTAACACAGCTGATCCAACTAATCAAGATGTTCAAAAGTAGTCTTGAACACCTTGATTAGTTGAATCAGGTGTGTCTGATTAAGGCTGGAGCGAAACTGCAGAGCTGCGGCTCTCCAGGAATTGAGTTTGAGACCTATGATATACAGTATATATAAATATTTATATATAAATACATTCTGCAACAGAGAGAGGTTTAGTTTTTAAGAGTTTTTTTTTTTTTCGTTTTAAGAAACAACTTAATTTAAAAAAAGTGAAAGAGAAAAAAAAAGGTTAGTCCTCTTACCTCACAACACAGAAAATATCTTTATAGCAACACAACATTTCCAAGGAAAACAAATCATTCATTAAATTATACTAATCCAACAGCAATTCTAGATTCACATACTGTAAGCTTTAAACAAACACATAATTTCCGGCCCCAATCTATTCTCCATTTTATTCTTCCTGCTGACATAAATTTCATGTTTTGCTTGACTACTCAAAAAGAAAGAGGGAGAGAGAAATAATGGGAGAGGAAGGGATTAAAACTGGAACAGGGTTAGTGAGAAAAAATGAGCAAAGGGGTAAATAAACAAAAGAAAAAGGAGAGATCTCTATTCAAGGTGGAAACAGAGCTATTGAGGGCAGAATGTTGGATTAAAGAGGAAAATAATGGGTGGTTAAATGTGCTGTATGTACATTCTTGACTCTTCTAGAGCATACAAATACCGTAATATGTTTGTTTGCAGATATTTAAGAAACATGCTAAGTGAACATTCTTGTTTATCTGATATACAATGCTAAAGTCAGATATTCTGTTTTGAAAATGTTTGTTCTGTGCCGAAACATCTGTCTTTGTTTTGGTTCTTTCAGCCTGCATAATGCCAGTTTAGCCAATTATATTTCAGAACCCGGGTTGTCTTGGTGGATAACCCTGCATTTTATTCAGTCAGAGTTTGTGAAAGGCTCTCAAAGCATATATCCATGACCGAAATACGACCTCTGGTGTACAATAGCAGCCTCTAAAATGAGACGCAGATTCAAAGTTCCACATGAGGTGGTCATTAATTAGCAAATAATTTAAATATTATTAATGTAAACATTTGGTGAGCAGGTTACATTGTAACACTGTGTCATAACAACAAGCCATGTGATGGGATTTGCAATTTGATGAGCAATTTGGCTGTTTGCACCAGACTAAACACGACAGAAATTTAAATACAGCCATTCAGAAGCACAGAATAGTGCACCCACCACAGTCCAACGAAATGATAAGTTTTATAATCCAGTTAATACATATGAAACCTTTTTAACATCTTTAAATGTAGATGCTAAATCACTGATATGTGTTGGTTTGCATTATTTCACAGTTATAAAGTTCAATTTTAAACGGTTTATTTTATTTTCAAGATCTGAGGAGAACCATCTGCTGCTGCTTTCAGTAGTATGGCAATAAATGTCAATCATTCAAACTCACATTACTAGCATTTAACACTGAATAAACCTGATTTAGATCAGCCTTAAATCAGCCTTTAGGCTCAATAGTCAGGCACACTCAATCTGAATGTCAATCTAGCAACCTGCACGTGTTTTGATCCAGGAGTGCAATACCTAGTTCAACCACTGGGTGTCAAACTTACACACTGCATCTTTAAATGCACGAAAGGGGCCAACATAAAAATACACGGTTGAAAACAAAGTTTCAAAATGTGCCAAGACAGTTCCACATAACAAATAAGACATTGTTTGTGAAAGCCAGTCAAAGCCATTATTGTGTGTCAAAGTCAGTCAAGTGTACATTTTTGGAATTTGTACATTTGAAAGCTGAAGAAATATGCTTTCCATTGATGGATGGTTTGAAATGACAGGACAATAATTAGCTGAGATACAGCTATTTGAAAATCTGCAAAATATTGTGAAAATCATATTTAAATATGACCTATTATGCCCCTTTTTATAAGATGTAAAATGAGTCTCTGATGTCTCTAGAGTGTGTGTGTTAAGTTTCAGCTCAAAATACTACACAAATAATGTTTCATAACTCTTTAAACTGCCTATTTTATGCTTTGATGCTAATTGTGCCATTTTGGTGACTGAAGAGGG